GGGTGGTTTAAGATACAGGTAGCTTGTTCTTTATTTTCTTTTATTCCAATTTAACTCAACATTGTAGACAATCAACAGGCAGATTCATTGAATCCTGTATGCAGTCCACAAGTCTAGTCCATGAACATTCATAGGCTAACGAATTATTCAAGATCTCATATATGACTGACTATACCAGAAGCAATGGCCACAGCAGCACCCTTGAACTGGGTAAGCAAGTCCTTGCTCTCTGAAGGGTCTCCATAGTTCTCACTCCATGATGATAGTATAACGGCCATTCCAATAGCAAGAAAGCATGAGGCAGCATCAAAGGGTGACACGGGGCCAAGACTCAAGGTATCAACTAGCAGATTTCCAAACAATCCAGACACTATAGCGACCAGACCATTGCCAATAAATATTGCCTTGGAGAATGTTATGGAGAGCCATTGTTGATCAAATCCCCTCTGCAGGATGAGCAGAAAACAGGATCAATGATGATGAAAATGAGGTAGACTTTATAGAAAAACGTCAGATTATTTGTAGATTTGACTTGGCTTAAACTCACACACAACCTAAGAGAGACAGCAAAGAGAAGCTAATGCAGAAGAAGATGGTTCAAGTCCTTAATTGGCAAGTCAGAAAGTATGAACAGAAGGCAGCACAAAAGCACAAGCAAAACAAAAACACGAAAATAACAAAAAGGGAGTGACCACTAGAGAAGCCTATACAGAAACCTTATCAGCATACTTTTCCTACTATGAGCAAAGCAAACAAGGAGAATTGTAGGAACTTTTAAACAATTCTGGTTCTGGATTTCTGAAGTAACCATTTCTGACAACTAGGGTGGAAATTAAAATATTAAAGTGACAAGATTAAGCTAAGAACTTTCTATAGTGACAAAATTTTTGTAGAACCTAATTCTCCAAAATGTTCGAGAAATAAGCTTCATAGATAAGCAAAACATTTTGCAAGCATGATAGTGATGAAAAATTTGCTTATCCAAACCATCTTTACTCATGGTTCCAGAAAGGGCTCGCACAAAGAATATGCTTTGTAAAAGCAAGATCCCCCCTCATGTGAAAAAATAGACAACTCAGTGTTATTTAAGGCGTAAAGCGAACCAAAGCGACCAAGACTCCTAATGCCTAGGCGAGAAGCGAAGCGACACGCTTTACCGAAGCAAAGCGAACAGTTAAAAANAGTGCAGTTTTAAGTGGAGCAACAAAACAAAGAAAGTCCAATAGCATACATTGTATAGCACGACGCACACAAAGATGTTGAGAGGAATGCGGAAAAAGTTCATGATGGTGCTCCTAGCCTCCTCGGGAATGTATTGTGACCTCATCTTCATAATGGAAGGCCAGAATATACCCACACAAGCCTCAAAGGTACAGAAGCCCATAAGCTGGATACAACCTGCAAATGAGATGCTTCCACCTTTCACCTTAGAAGGAGCTACCAAAAACTGTTCCAAATAACCAAATTAGAGATGGCCTTAACCATAGTATGTAAAAGTAAGCAAAAATGGAAACATAAAATCCAGAACATACACTCGTCACAATAGGAAGCAGGAGAGTGGCAGCAGAAACCACAAAAACAATCTGCATGTAGCTTTCAACTCTAGGTGATGTGCGGGCCATCAGCCGAGATGCAACAGAGCTTCCCAACATTGAAGCCAACATAAAAGTTGCAAAAATAAAACCGTGGGGAATGTCTTCCTCATTTGGACTCAACGCAGGTGTCCAGAGGAACACAAAGGTGTACATTGACCCTTCAAACAGGGACTGTATCGCACCCAGCAATGCAATCTTCTCATCTGACCCACATAAACCATAAAAATAAGGGTCTGCCAGCGAATATAAACATGAACAAAAATAGAAAAGGAGACTTCGAAATAGAGACTCCGAAATATTTGGATAAACCATGGCAACAATGACCAAAAACCAATTAGACACATCAAACTAAGCTTGGCCCACCATTTCGAAAAGGCTACCAGCAAGAACGCATGAAAACATTGCAAACACGGGGTGGTTTAAGATACAGGTAGCTTGTTCTTTATTTTCTTTTATTCCAATTTAACTCAACATTGTAGACAATCAACAGGCAGATTCATTGAATCCTGTATGCAGTCCACAAGTCTAGTCCATGAACATTCATAGGCTAACGAATTATTCAAGATCTCATATATGACTGACTATACCTGAAGCAATGGCCACAGCAGCACCCTTGAACTGGGTAAGCAAGTCCTTGCTCTCTGAAGGGTCTCCATAGTTCTCACTCCATGATGATAGTATAACGGCCATTCCAATAGCAAGAAAGCATGAGGCAGCATCAAAGGGTGACACGGGGCCAAGACTCAAGGTATCAACTAGCAGATTTCCAAACAATCCAGACACTATAGCGACCAGACCATTGCCAATAAATATTGCCTTGGAGAATGTTATGGAGAGCCATTGTTGATCAAATCCCCTCTGCAGGATGAGCAGAAAACAGGATCAATGATGATGAAAATGAGGTAGACTTTATAGAAAAACGTCAGATTATTTGTAGATTTGACTTGGCTTAAACTCACACACAACCTAAGAGAGACAGCAAAGAGAAGCTAATGCAGAAGAAGATGGTTCAAGTCCTTAATTGGCAAGTCAGAAAGTATGAACAGAAGGCAGCACAAAAGCACAAGCAAAACAAAAACACGAAAATAACAAAAAGGGAGTGACCACTAGAGAAGCCTATACAGAAACCTTATCAGCATACTTTTCCTACTATGAGCAAAGCAAACAAGGAGAATTGTAGGAACTTTTAAACAATTCTGGTTCTGGATTTCTGAAGTAACCATTTCTGACAACTAGGGTGGAAATTAAAATATTAAAGTGACAAGATTAAGCTAAGAACTTTCTATAGTGACAAAATTTTTGTAGAACCTAATTCTCCAAAATGTTCGAGAAATAAGCTTCATAGATAAGCAAAACATTTTGCAAGCATGATAGTGATGAAAAATTTGCTTATCCAAACCATCTTTACTCATGGTTCCAGAAAGGGCTCGCACAAAGAATATGCTTTGTAAAAGCAAGATCCCCCCTCATGTGAAAAAATAGACAACTCAGTGTTATTTAAGGCGTAAAGCGAACCGAAGCGACCAAGGCTCCTAACGCCTAGGCGAGAAGCGAGAAGCGAAGCGACACGCTTTACCGAAGCAAAGCGAACAGTTAAAAAAAATATATATTTTAGTTTAATTACTTCTAAACAATCTAAGTTCTAATTTTATATATACTAAATATTTAAATGCAAGTAAAACCATAAACATTTAAATTAAAACAAACACTAATAATATCTCAAATCTTAATAACAGTCATAACTTAAACATTTAAATTCAAACAAATACTAACAATTGTATAAATTTTCATATTGACAGGGTAGGACAACAAAAGAAGAAGGATCAGGACAGCAACAGAATCAGCAACAAAAAAAAAAAAGCAGAATGAGGATAAAAAAAAACAGAAGCAGCACAGGACAACAAAACCGAAGCAGCAACAGAATCAACAAAAAAAAATAGAAGCCGAATGAGCTAAAAAAAAAAAACAGAAGCACAATGATCATGACAGGAGCAGAATCAATTGTCAACAATTTCATGTGTAATTATGTACTGAATAAAAAAAGTAAAACAGAGGCATATTTCACATGTACTAAAATAATTAAACATGGTATAAGCATAGACCACTTTTTGGTATCATTTGTATATATATAAGAAAAGGAAAAATTATAACCAAGACATATCAGAGACATTTCTTTGTAGAAGACTCTATTATTTTCTCTCATTCCTGATACTCCTGCTTCCTTTCTTTATCATAATTTTGCCATGCAGTCGCCTGACTCCCACATCTCACAAATGAATTCAGCAACACAAGGAAAAAAAAGGAATGTGTTTTGTTCGGAACATTGCTTATCAGAAAAAAAAAAAAAAAAAAATAGACCAGCGATAGTCTAAAAAAAAAGTCCTCAGTGATTAAAAAATAAAAGAGACTACTAACCTGTGATCAGGAAAAAAAAAAAAAAAGGGGGAGCAGAATCGCCTCTTATAATAAAGTATTCACTTTTTCGCTTTTTTCGCTTCTTCGCTTTTTCTCGCTTTTTTCTCGCTTCGCTCACGTTCACTTCGCCTAGAGTCCTCCAGGCGAGATAAGCTCGCCTCGCCTCACTTCTTGCCTAGGCGAACTTTTTAAAACACTGAGACAACTAATTATGTTCACATCTATTAAATCCTGCTTATGCAAACTACAACAGTCACAAGTCAGGATCAGTTATACCACTAAATGCAAGTGTGAAATGTACTTAATTGAATGTGGATGCCTCAGTCACCAGTCAGTCACTGATGTGCTTAAGAACCCCTCACCTTGTTGTGCTCAGCCACAAGCCATGATTCAAAAGCTGAACATAGTAGAGAAGTGGCAATACCACCCAAAACACGACCCAACATCAAAACTTTGTACTGCGGAGAATGCTTGGTAATACAGCTCAATATGTAAGTAATGCAGTAAGTCACACATGCCCTCTTTCGACCCCTGAATTTAAGATACGAACCATCAAAAAACAACACAAACAATCAATTTCAACGTAACAATAATGAGTACAAAAATTTCAGATAGAAATCTCACTGTTTGTCAGCTAGAGATCCAACAATCGTCCCAAACAACATGGAAGATCCAAATCCTGCAATAAAGAGCTGTCCAATCTCTCCTTTCCCGAAGCCATATGTCGTGTAAAGGTAGTAGACATAAGGACCCTGCAACCAATCACCAGCTGTTGCCACATAAAGAGTAACTCATTAGAAAAAAATAAACACTAATACATCCAACAGGTAATACCTACAATTCATATGATTCTTGTCAGCAGTTCACAAAGCAAGGTCTAAATAATAGACAGGGAATGCCACCATTAGATTCTTAAGTTGGCTGTCAAAACCAATTAATTTACCCTGATCAGGAATATCTACAATGAAAAATGCTTCCCATGGTTTCCTTGCAAGCCGACTGATGAAAAGGAAAAGAAAATTAAATTTTGAATTCAACATTTATAGTTTTCCAGTTGCAAACCTTTTCTGAAAAATCCAATAATATCATTAAGGTAAATAACAAAAGTGCTTAAACTAACAGAACGTATATAGAATTGTTGCATTAAAAACTCATCTAATACCGACAACCCATGGGATCAAACCCATACAGTGAACCAAACACTGTGTTCCTCAGATCACTTCCTACCAGTGACTCCCCAAGATAATCAGATCAGAGGACAAAAACAGCTAAGCTGCTCAAAGTCTGTGTTAGCTTAGAAAATCTAGTAAGAATATATTCAGATGCATTTAAAAAATGAAAAAATTCAATTCAATTAACTCGAACAGACGAATTAGGGTCTCTTTCAGTATAGATTTCTTCTGTTTTCTAAGCCCTAGCCGATTAAACTTTTGAAAATCACAAAATTAATGTATTTTTTTTGCCTCCTACATTTTCTCAGTAACCCCATAAAACAATCAACTAGAAATGAGATCCAGATCCCATGTTTCCCCAAATATCCATAGCACATTGGCGAAATTGTCTCTCAAACTAAGCAAGGCAAGCAGATCTCCAGAGGAATCACATTAAATAGATCAGATCAAACACCACAGACAAAAACACGAACAACAAATCATCAAAAACACATAAATAAATAGATTACGCGCATATCTACAGAAACGGAGAGTGACGAGAAGGTCCAGATCCGTTCATTTGCATACCCATCATGAGAGAGTAGACGAGAATGTAATTATTCTTGAAGGAATTGAAAGCCTGAGGAGTGTTGATGCGATCCTTGTTAGACTTGCTTAGCTCTACAGCTGCCACTACGACCCCAAGAGCACCGAACACCATGTAATAGAAAAACTCCATTGTATGGATTGTTGCTTGAAAAGCCCGGCCGATGACGAGCGCTTCCCTTCTGTTCCTCCAAATCTAGTCTCCTCTCTAGAGAGACGAAGGGAAAAAAAAAAAAAGCTGTTGTACGTCCTGCTCCACAGTAAGATTCTTAGGTAGACAAGCTCAGAGATATATATACACACAAGAAGTAAGGGGAGAGGAACGCGGTTTGTCAATCAGGGACCTAATATATCCGTCGAATTACACTTCGTCTGCCATACAATTTCAAAAATTCACTGTGCCCCTTTAAAAGTTAAGAATCTCACATTTATTCCAATATTTTTTTAATGGTAACAATGTTTCCTCATTTATCCTTTTCTTCACAAAATAAAATGTCTCAAATTGTATGAAAAAGAGAAAAATTGCTACTATTTACAGATATCAGGGGTGTAAATGGATATTTCTAATATTTTTGCGGACAAAATGCCATTAACCCTAAATTATTTACTGTGTATCTCGTTTCAGCCTTGTGTTGGTTGTGAGGGACATGTGGCGAGACGTGAATTGCTTTGATTGTTGTCGGTGAGTGCAAGTGTGCAACAACCTTATAGAGTTCCAGACGACATGCCATTGCCTTGGGCTTGGATCCCTCATTGCACAGAAGCAGTGAAATGTGACCCACTTCATCCATGCATTTGGGCCGTCTGATTAATGCTACCCAACCAAGAGTCCTCACCTGCATGGAAATGGCGAGTTGATTTATTATTAATCTCCTGTTTTTAGGAAGAGGAATGCTACTTAAATTTAATTTATTAATTCACTAGAATTATTGAATTAATTATGGACTCTTTTAAATATCGAAATCACATCATTAAATCAGTAAATTAAGTCAAATTTTTAAATCAAAATAAAATTATGTAATTTATTATAGTTGTTGAACTCATCATGAATTCTATTTAACATTAAAATTTGGTGTTTATTCATTTGTTATAATGAAACTACATCATTAAGTCAACGTTAATTTTTTAGGTCAACAAATTCATTATTACATCAAATTATTCTTATCCGATTCNTCTTATAAAGAAACTACATCATTAAGTCAACGTTAATTTTTTAGGTCAACAAATTCATTATTACATCAAATTATTCTTATCCCATTCCTAGGGATTTTGAGGGATTAGACGAGGCTAAGAATTATAAAACAAATTAAACTAGTCTAAGCTAGGCTTGAGATCGATTGATATTCTTTTACTTTCAACTCGTAAACTAACCGAAGCTAAGCTTAGAACATCATTTAAAACTCGTTTAAATCCATATCAAGAACAAATAGCTATTTGAGCCAACACATTTACATCTCTAATTATAATGTAGTTGATTTATTCACATTAGTGGATAAATCTAATATTTAACTTTAAACAATGATGTAATCGTATTATTAAACTATCACTTGTATTGTTTGAGTTCATCTAATTCCCCTCTTATCAAATTGTCAATCCTACCACGGATTTTAACAAATTTTTTTTTAGTTCAATGGTCAATAGTAGTCGGACCAATTTACTCAAACTTCAGCTAATTCCTTCTCTGATCTTGTTAAAGACAAACCATCCACACCAGAATTAGAATATTAATGATATTATAAGTTTAAATCTTGATAATTTTTTTAGAGTTGGATCTATTTTTCATGAATATTCTAATTATGGTGTGGAAATTTATACAGCTGACTGTAAAGGACATTGACTGAACAAAAACTTTTTACGCGTTATCTCTGATTGAAATGATAAAAGAAAAAAGTACAATACCAATCAACTGGGTCAGTCTTAAACCTTGGTTTTGATCTAGATGAATCCTCTTTGGGTGCAAGCAAGGAAGTTCACCTAGATTGAACCAAGATAGTTATACTAAATGCCAACCAACGGACCCTTGTGGTGTCTTGAACATGTACTAAGGTACCGTTGACAATTACTTCCACTAAGAACGGCGGAAAACGTTGAGCTTGAGTATCAGATGGTAGCTGTTTAGATCTCAAGTTTATGTGGGAACAAACAACCATCATTACCTTAAAACAAGGACGACCCTGACCGAGGTGCAGAGACTGTCATCATTAGATAAATGAATATACGCACATTTCTGTGAACTCCAATATTTGGTCCACATTTTTTAGCGTCGAGATTCCCTCATACAATAATTGTTTTTTGATTCTTTCAATGTCATCAGATCATTCGTGGTATTTTGCAAAAATCGCAGTTGAATGCAAGATCATTCGTGATATTTTTGCAAATATACCAGTTGAATGCAATTAATCATACTTAAACTCACAATATGTTTAAAGAATTGAAAGGAGATTCAGATTCACTCCCGGATTAGATTCCTAATTCCTTCAATGATAGATCGCATGCCACAAAAGACTTATTATACAAGTGGAAGCCACCAATAATTAGTATTGAAGTAGTTTCTGACATCAATTTCTTTTTATGGTTCACAGGCGGTACTATTACATTACACCTTCCCATTTTTGGAAGAAAATAAAGTTAATTGCACCAAAGGTCTCTAAAGTATGAAATTTATCTCATTTTAATTTCTGATATTTCAATTGCATCAATTTAGTTCCTAAAATATTGAATATTTATATAATAAAATAGCTTACAATTCAAATCTCAACAGATAAACAAAATGACTTTTGCTATTCGCGGTTGAAATCGTTTTAAATTTAACTTCAAATTTAATCTAACAGCTAATACTATCATCCTAAATTTAATAAGAAAAATAGGTTTCTAAGGGTATATTTAGACTTTGGAGTGATTTTTTAAAAATAATTTTAAAAATTATTTCTCATAAACACTTTAAAAAAAATAGTGTTTGAAACCGCTCTACCACTACTACTACCACCACTATCGCTACCACCACCACCTTCACCGCCGTCACCACCACCACTACCACCACTACCTCCACCATTGCCCCCGTCGCTTCCATCACTGCCGTCGCTGTCGCCACCACCACCGTTGCCGCCGCTGTCATTATCGTCTCTTACTATGCCTACCACCTCTCACCCTTACTACAAATCAATACTTAAATTCATTTATTTTTTTTCTATGTTTGTGATTTGATTTTAGATATGAATACAAATACGTTTATTGTTTACCATTTTTTATTACTTTGTGTCTTCAGGCACAGGCAATAACTAGTATTTTTATATGGTCTCTTAGACAAAGAGTGTTCAAATTACTAACGATTTTTTATTATAAACTTGTCATGTAATACCTAAATATGGACAAAAAAATAATTTGAATAATTCTTGACCAAACTTTTACTTAAATTTTGGTAAAAAAAAAACTACCAAATTATACAGATTTGATCGTGAACTATTCAAATTTGGTTCAAGAATTACCCATAATACATATTTTTTGTCAAGAACTACCTAAATTACTTTTTGTCTATATTTAAGTATTACGTAACAAATTTATAATAAATAAAAAATCGTTAGCAATTTAGATGTTGTCTACTTGAGGGACCACGTATAAATATATTCAATAATTCAACAACCAAAATAATACAATTAAAATATTAAGGACTAAAATGTGACACTCTACTTTCGGGACCTTTACTGCAATTAATCCCAAGAAAATATATAGGTATATTGTCATATTTTCAAACAACTCCTTTAATATCTGAAATATCTTTATACCCTGTGAATTTACAAGTATATTTCAGATAATACCCTTACCATAAGTGAATCCGAATAGCATATTNAATATCTTTATACCCTCTGAATTTACAAGTATATTTCAGATAATACCCTTACCATAAGTGAATCCGAATAGCATATTCAAATTGTTTACAATTGTGCAGACACCTAAGTGATCCCCCTGCAGCAGAAAAATGAGATGAGGATAAAATGAATCCAATATTGAAACGGACCCTTGAACCACCACCACAAACTCAGATTGTGAAAAAGCTAAAATATCCACAAATCCCATGGCCCACTAACATCCTCTCAAAAATTATTGAAAATCTCACAGCAAGAAGAGGAAACCAGAAGCAAAGGAAGAAGCTTATGTTCATTCAAACCCGCTACCCATAATAACATCTAATCCCAATACCAGCTGTCAATAGTTGCAGCTGAATTCTCTTGTTTTAAGCTCTGAAATATGGCTGCTCTTACTTCACTCACCGCACACTCAACTTCTTTATATCCTAAGTTCCATCCTAGACCTCTTATTTTCTATTCAAATTCAATCAATGAACCTAGCACATGTTGCTTAACTATCAAAGCAGTTAGGTACTCCAGCGGGAGACTACGCTTGCACTCCATCCGTTCAGGCATGCGAATCCAAAATACAGCAACCAAACCTGCAAAATCACCAGGTAATTCTGCCATATATGCTTTACCTAGGACTATCTGGTGACAAACTTTCTAAAGAAATTGATAGAAGCATAATTGGTTGATCAACCAAAGCAACTTTAGATTTGATCTTTGGCATATTCTTTCTTTCCTTTTGGAGGGATTAGCTGAAGAAGACTGGAAGATTAAGCGTGGATATCTGCTTGAAAAAAGGGTAGCTCTCTCTCCCTCTCCAATCCCAGCACACACCCACTCACTCTTTGTGGAACAAATATTTAAGCCAAATATTCACGCACTATATAGTTAAAGTCCGGCACTTTGTATATATGTAATCTTTTGTGTACATAATCAGAATCTGACATGCATACAATATGCTTGATTTTGAACTACAAAGTATACAAGAAGATACTTTGGTTTAATTGATTGGAGCTTAAAGTTGCATAAAAAACCTAAGAAGACCAGTTGATTAGTGCTGCAGTGTCTAATCCATGGCTATTGTTAGTCTTTATCCAAATGTTCAACAAAAGTATTTAGCAGTAGGATAGACGAAAAAAAATAGTTAAGATAGAGATGCTCGAGAATTCTTTAATCAGTATATATAGAACACCAAAATATCATAGTCCTATTTTCATGTCTAGCAGTAAGAAATGAAGATCTAGGTCATCCATTCACCCTAAACTAGGAAGTAATTTGAGTTCAGGAAGGTCTAACAAGGAACATATCGATTGGTCGCAGGTAAGAAGTGTGGATGTCAAAGAAGCTTTCCGACTTCAGAAAGAAAATAACTTTGTGATTCTTGATGTACGGCCAGAAGCAGAGTTCAAAGAGGTTAGCCTAACCTCTGTATCTTTTCATTTCCTAGCAGCTTGAATTTCAAGAGTAAAATTCATCAATACATACCCATAATCCCACTTAAACTCTCTTAAGTTTGACCAGGCTGAGTTATTCAAGCAAGCTTTCTAATGTTTGTGGCTGTAGGCTCACGCACCAGGTGCTATTAATGTACAAATCTATAGGCTTATAAAGGAGTGGACAGCATGGGACATTGCTAGGCGGGCTGCATTTGCATTTTTTGGCATCTTTGCTGGAACAGAAGAAAACCCTGAATTCATCCAAGGTATGAGATTAGTGACATTTTTTTCGCCTAAAGCAGGATATCAGTGAGTTACTTCTATGCGTGTGCACTATAGGACAACTAATGGTTTGACTGATGCAAACAGGTGTGGAATCCAAAATAGATAAGAACGCAAAGATAATAGTGGCTTGCTCATCTGGGGGGACAACGAAACCATCACAAAGTCTTCCAGAAGGGCAACAGTCAAGGTTGTTAACATGCATCTATCTTCTCTTTATTTTCATTATTCTTCCTCTACCCCATTTCCAACATTCTAATACACATTTCCCAACATTTCTTTTGGTTTTTTTTTTGGGGGGGGGGGTGGTGTTCATCAGCAGACGAACATAATTTTCAGTATGAAGATACCAAAGTGTAGCATGCTAATATTCCACAACACAACCAAATAAGGCTAACCGAGAAAGAAGATGATGCTCAATGCTCGTTAGCAGCCCAAGGCACATGAGTTAGCTAGAATTCATTAGGGTTAATGGGCAAAAAACAGCTACTAAGAAGAATGTCCAGTTATGCTTACTTTTTATTCTTTAAGCTTCATGATGCCATAATAAGGAGATATCATTGCTTACTCCTGCTACTACCTTCAGGTCCCTTATAGCAGCTTACTTGCTAGTTCTCAATGGTTATACCAATGTCTACCACTTAGAAGGAGGGCTTTACACCTGGTTTAAAGAAGGATTGCCCACAGTTTCGGAAGAATGAAGTTCAGAATCAGAAAGTGTGCATCTAGATAGCTCAGTTTTCAACCCTCATGATACTTGTATCAAGATGCGTCCGCCCTCAGAGCTTAGGTGTTCTTTGTATAAAGAGTGAGTTTTAAATTTTTTATCATCTGCAAGGGCCTGTATCAAAAATAGATCAACTTTGGTGTTTTCGTGATTAGATCAACTTTGGTGTTTTCGTGATTAGATCAACTTTGGTGTTTTCGTGATTTTCAACCGTGGCTGACTTATGATGTGAATTATGTACTAACAATTCTAAAAACATCCAGCATTGTCTTGTCAAGTAGATAAGAAGTTAGAAATGATAACGACAACACGAAATCTAAGTTAATCTTGGATGAGAGTTTAGTGCAGAAAAAGACTATGACGAACAGAAATTAAATTAGATTCAACAAATGTCTGATGTGTTTGGTCATCTCAGAAGAACAAAAAATCTGGTCTTCCACAATAGTTTATTATGACCTTCTATTTGTAGTATAACTATTAGGTCCATGCTCTTGATAAAATGTTGCGAACTCGGTTCAATTGTGTGTTTTTAGATGATTTTTTTAAAATTGCTAATCTCTTTCGGTCACATATCTCTCTCTGCAAAGGTTCCATGCTAGAGGATAAGGTTATGCATTCATATCCTATGGAAATCAAAACTGGATGATTTAATAACTATGAGGTGTTCAAAATACTTCATATGGCTCAAAACTAAATGGATCTCAAATCTTAAAGTCGAGTCGTGTAGAACCTTGAGAATCATAAAACAATTTGCCAGCAGATTGAACGATCAACTTTACCTCATATACTAGTAAAACAAAGAAATGAAGAGAAGCATAAAACAGACATAAATGCGATTCCAAAAGTGCTGCGCAATGTAAATCAATAACCTAGTAAATGTTTGACCGAAACAAACTCGTATCAATCAAGATACTATCAAAATAGGCAACCTGAAGAATGTAATTAAGGACTAGGATACCTTGTAGACAAGGCCAACACTGTTGAGTTCATTAGTAACTCTGTGACCAAAAACCTCATCAAACTATGAGGATTGTAACGATCTCCGCTTGGATCATACACACTCATTCAACATCGAGTATTGAGATTGAGTCAGGCGTATCTAACACTGCCAAAACAAAATTCAATTTGATCTTTTTTTATAATAATTGGCCCGCTTGATGCAAATACGAACAGGCGCATATTTTGTACTTGGGGGGGTCTCTAGTTCGAATACTTGGGCGCCAGAAAATTTGTTGGCGACGCGAATCAGCCGAGAGCTTCGTCGCAGTGGAAGCTGCCAATGCGAGTGCCAACTCGCTTGGGTGTTGAAGAAGCTATCTTGAAGAATGAACCCTAGATGCTCCGCAGGGATGATGGAACGCATGATTCATTTTCTTCTCTTCGAATTCCAAATCCAAGACTAGAGCGTTCAATACTCGTATTTACCCGCCCGGCTTTTTTGGTGGGTAGTAATATGTAAAAAGGCATATTGATCGTGTTATTAGAAAATCTCCGATCACAAAATATATTTAAATATTAAATTATCTATTTTAATTAGTTACTTTTTTAAAAAAAAATTTACCACGCTATCTATTTTAGTGCCCTGCTACAACTAATTTTAACTAACTTTCAATAATATAATTCAAAAATACACTGCAATTCAGGGAGGGAGAGCAAAACAGCACTGCTGTTCTGGGAGCAACACAGGGAGCAAAAGACCCACTCCAATAAAAACAACAAACCTCAAAAACTAGCATTTTATATAGCAGCAAAATTCCATTTTTTTCTCTCCTGAGTTTTCTTAGCAACAAATTCCAGATGACCCAGTTGAAAAATTGGTAGAAACGAAAACCAGCAAGGATTGATACCAGCTCAATCCGTTTACTGAATAATATTTCGAAGAAAACAGAGGCACCCCACATAACCAAAGTGGCCATGAATAACATCCCCGGCTTGTTCTGTTATCATGGCTCACCCTCACCATTTCTCTCTAAAACCTTTCTCTCTTCCCGTCTGCATTTTGGGTCATTTTCTTTTCGTATGTAAAAAAAACTAACACAGGATTCTACATGGTTGAGCTGCATATCTCATTGAGGCAATTCATCAAACATATTGTGAACAATTAAAAGAAACTCATCTCAAAAAATTTCAAGTAGTCAGGCCGAGCGAAGATCATTCACAGAAAGCAAGGGAAAACATATATTGGAGGAAGGAAGACATACCTAAAGGAGAAAGGAAGACCGATTCACAGTGCAGAAATGGAGAAATTGAGGAAGGAAGACAGGCTGACGACTGAAGGGAGAGAGACTGGCGAGCAACTGGGTTTCCTAGATTTTGGTGAGGTGAAATTCTGCTCGTCAAAATGGCTAAACGACTGGCACTGGCGATGGCGTTGTAGATGCTCTTACACTGAAAAATACACTCTAACTCATGAATATTAAAAATGAATATTAAAAATAAATTTTATTTAAAAATTGATAAAACTCACTCATTTAAAAAATAAAATAAATTTGACTTACAATTTTTTGAATTTTATTTTGATTGTATGACATTTCTCAACTAATCTACCATAAGATGCTGTGATNCCAACTCAAATACACGTCATTCCTTATATGAATATTAAAAATAAATTTTATTTAAAAATTGATAAAACTCACTCATTTAAAAAATAAAATAAATTTGACTTATAATTTTTTAAATTTTATTTTGATTGTATGACATTTCTCAACTAATCTACCATAAGATGCTGTGATTTTGATGTCTTAATAATAGTTATCCCAAAAATATGCTTGCAATGTTGTGAGCCAATTAGGATATTGCTATTTTTAAAACAAAGGTCTTAAATTCAAATAAAACCCAAAAAATTACAATCTAAATACATATCATCTCTTAAACGAGGGAATTCAATCAACTTTTTAATGAAACTTACTCANGTAATGTTGTGAGCCAATTAGCATAATGCTATTTTTAAAACAAATGTCTTAAATTCAAATAAAACCCAAAAAATTACAATCTAAATACATATCATCTCTTAAACGAGGGAATTCAATCAACTTTTTAATGAAACTTACTCATTCAAATGACAATATGCATTTGAGTTACAATTTTTGAAATTCATTTGAGTTGTGTATTATTTTTTTATTCCTATAAAAACATGTTTTAAGGTAGCTAAAGTTATGATGACCGGCCACTAAACTCAAGANGAATTTGAATTACAATTTTTGAAATTCATTTGAGTTGTGTATTATTTTTTTATTCCTATAAAAACATGTTTTAAGTTAGCTAAAGTTATGATGACCGGCCACTAAACTCAAGAGAATAATCGCCGCAACCTTGAACACCTTGTAGCATAAAAAAAATTTAAATGCTCACCACATGTAAAAATAAAAAACGNGCATTTGAGTTACAATTTTTGAAATTCATTTGAGTTGTGTATTATTTTTTTATTCCTATAAAAACATGTTTTAAGGTAGCTAAAGTTATGATGACCGGCCACTAAACTCAAGAGAATAATCGCCGCAACCTTGTACACCTTGTAGCATAAAAAAAATTTAAATGCTCACCACATGTAAAAATAAAAAACGTACATAATGTTTCTTGATTTTTTTTTAACAGAAGCCCTTGATTAGATTGGATTAGAACTATGTTTGAAAGCTTGAGGATGAAACTAATACATCTATAGGAGCTACAATGAGAATCAGCGAAAAAAGTAAGGTAATACATAATTAACCAAAGAAAAAGTCAAAAAACATAGTGAGGGAGACACATTTCACATTACCAGTCCCTCATGTCATTGCCACAAGGGATGACTTTCACACCTACATGCAAAGATTGGCTAGTTGAAGAACTTGGCCAAGCTGATAGTCCCCAGTTTCATAACTGGGGCAGGCTGTACATTGTTACATATGCCCATCCTAAAGAACCCCAATCTGGGAGTGCAGATTACAAATCAATAAAACTTCCCCAAAGAATTCAATAAAAACAAAATCACAAGAGTTCTATGTAGCATCTCCTCGACAGTTACAGAATCTACACCTCCACAAGAAACAAGAGTATATCAAACTTCCTGGTATAACCACAACAAGTGTGATGGCCTGTAACAAGGTCATGCTTATTGCTGTTTCTTTTAATCCTAGCTCAGTCAGCATAGGGATCTCTAACTGGCACGGCCCATTTACAAAGCTGCCTTTGCCTATACAAGTTGCGAGGATATGGCGCATCAGAGGTGCAAATGGATACAAAATAAGGCTCGTTGTGGCCCTTTTCAAGCAATAGATTTCTACTGTGGTGTAACGAGACAGCAAATCTTCTATAAGACGCAGTACAAACAGCTTCTATGATAAATCAGGAAGTCTCCGCAAGGCGGTACATTGTGATTTCCTGCTGCTTAAAATACCGCCGGTCCTCTTCATCAACAAGAACGAGGTTTAAATAATACTTCACACTAAATTTGTTATTGATGTTGCGATGTGTTGGTGTCAGTTCATAGGGGCTCAGGAACAGTCGGATCGGAATTGATTCACCTGTAATAACAAGCACACAACTCTAAATCATTTCTTCATCAAAATTAATGTTGACAGCCAAGTGCGAAAAATTGAAAATCTACATCAGCCGATTCATCATCTTTGCAAAATATTCAGGGCAGATTTGCTATGGTCATTAAAAAAAATAATTGGTCTCTCAAATCTTAAAACTGACACCAAAAACAAATTTTTGAAGTGGTTTTAGCAATTTTCAGATTCAAATGGTGCCAAACAAAGTTAAATCATGCCCTTAGAACTGCTGGGGCTTCAAAGTTAAATCGTGCCCAGGTTGCTCGGGTGGCCTGCAAAGGCTCACTCCCCACACTACAGTCCGAGTTATACACTCCCTCGCCTCCGAATTTGCATAGCAAAAGGAAGTCACAACTAAAGTTGAAGGAACCATGCAAAACTAATGCGAACAGATAATGCTGGCATATAGAAATAAGAGGAGCTGAATCAATGTTCTGGTTTCAAAGGCAAGAGAAACTTTTTTCTCAGATTAAAGAAAAATAAAGGGAATAGAAATGGTAAGACTTACTTAAACAACAATAAAATAAAATGGCATTTCTAGGCATACCTCTTACTGGAGCACCATCCATCAACTCAAACTTTGCAAGTGTCTCTGTCTCAACGTGGGTGTTGGCCCCTGATCCGGTTGATTCTCGCCGCCTGATCTCAAGATCCATGTTTTTTATCTTGATTCTTACAAGAAGAAAATATATCTTGCCTATAATAACATCTTTCAAATGATACCTGGATATTTATAACTTCAATCAGCAAGGGCACATAATTCTCATTCTAACCAAAACTAGATAAAGATGAAAAACTCAATGTTGTAATAATGGTTGTTTCTGTTTAAACCAAGAGTTGGCCATCCTTAACCAAGATAATCAATTGTTCAATCCTCACACCTGATGCAGTTGTCTAAGCAGTATCTACTCTTAGTCAAAATGAGTAGAAATCAAAGTGTGGAGGTGGACCTGGGTTGAATCCACGCAGCACAACCCAGTTGAACTGAACAATTAACCACCAGTTCTTTTTTTTCAAGGATTAAGGTTGATATGTTAAAACAGATTCAGTTGGCACCCACTCAGGAACATAATGATCCAAAATTGAATAACAGAAAATCTTAATTGGGTAATTTGTATCCTGTCCTACTTGCTTTTATTGTACTCGAACTCAATGTGAAGGCAATCCTCAATTCCAACTTCCATCTGCAAGGGATAAACATTAGCAATGGAAAAATCATCCATTGATTAGCTTTTGCATGATGAATCACATAAATTTTTGATAAGAGAACAAAGGTACCATGTATATGGAGAATCAAATTAAGAACTGCTAGCTATCTTTGAAAGAAAAAAAATATCTCCCCATTCCCTACTCAATCCCTCATCAACAAGAGGAGTGGCCTCATAATATAGACATGGTCACCGTTAGCATTGATAAAAAAGTGACTTCATACTCACCATCAAAGTTGTCATGTGAATTTTCATTTTTAACATTTTAATGCACAGAACTTTAATAACGCCTACATGCCATGCATGTATAAGCAGAATTGAATGTCAAAGAACTAACCTTAATACTGTTGTTAATTGGAGGAGGTGGAGTGTAATTGCGAACCTGATGCATAAAAAAAAAAGATAAGTATGAATAATAATGTACATATATAGAAAGAGCAACTAAAATTGCAAATTGGTGCATGGGAAACGTAGAAGAAAGGAAACTGAGTCAAAGAATTAGGAAAAAGATATTGAAACCAGAAATTAAATACAGGGTCATCNAGTTGCGAACCTGATGCATAAAAAAAAAAAGGAATGTACATATATAGAAAGAGCAACTAAAATTGCAAATTGGTGCATGGGAAACGTAGAAGAAAGGAAACTGAGTCAAAGAATTAGGAAAAAGATATTGAAACCAGAAATTAAATACAGGGTCATCTTTACTTCCTATTAATAGATGCATAGTTAGCAAGTAACTATTGTTTATACTGAAAGGTTTTGTATTCTAGTATAAATATGTATACCATCTCTATGGTTTATTCTACACATTAATACACAAAAATATAATGCAAGTTTACTAATGAAGGACTAATTATACAATTCCAAAACAAGCACTCTCAATACATATAATGCAGAAATTCTAAGCACCCTTGTTATAAAGACATAGCACAGTAGTACCTTTTCTAATAAAACAGTGTGCGTCCTTAAAGTTCAGATGAACAATCAGTTAATAACTAATGAGTGCCTGCATGAGCATCCGCAAGGGTGTGTGTGAGAGAGAGAGAGGGTTACCACAAAGTCTTGGTATTCAACAATGCTTCCAGCATAGCCACGACTGATTGTCACTTTCAGGACATACCTGAAACCAGCACACTTTGGTAAACTCTACAAAGACTTACTAGGAAACCAAAGAATAAATCTCAATGAGCAGTAACCAAAATTATATTAGAATATGCAAATGCTCCAAATCAAGCCAAAAGAAATGCGAAAACCACTAAATTCTGTTGCAAATTTCGATACACAAGCAACTTACCGAAGTTGTACATTCACTCCATTGTATGTCTCATATGGCATTTCAACCGTTGAAAATTCAAATGGATATGTTTTCCTTTCATATATTTCACCAGGAACATCCAATTCACGGACTGTTAACAAGAAATGTAAGGAGATTAAATAATATTACAAATTTCCTTTTTCTGAAACAGGTCTCCTTTCTGCCATCAACAAAAAATGCTACTACATGACATTTAATATGGTGACAAAAGTATGTGAGGGTGCGTGCTAATTCGCTTGCTGTTGCATGAGAGGGTAAAATATCTGGTTTAGTTTACCATATCCTACACTTACTCAAATCAGATAAACAGTGAATAGACATCTGGGAAGTCAATGATATCAACTTAGGAGTTTACTCACCAAGTGAGGTGAAGTCATAGAAATTGCCTTTGTCGAAGTACATTTCTGCAAGGAGAAAAACAAGTGCTATAAAACCAATAAAAGGGTCCCAAGAATTTTGATGAGAAGGGGCTGATACATTAAGTACACTCTTTCCTAATTGCTGATTATACAAGTGCTATTATGTAATTGAAGTGCAACCACCAACTCAACCAAGTCCAGAAGACCACAATTGATCCAACATTGGAGTTACTACCAGAATATGCCATGAAGGAGCAACAAGTTCTACACATCGTTCAGTGTAATTGTTCGTACGTACATGGACAATAACTAATAGTAAAGTATTAATTTTGGTCATCGAAGGTGAAAATATGACAGAAGCATAAGCAAAAATTTGTTACCAACCCCCAAAACCTACTTTTTCTACTCTTTCCTTTTCATTTAAAAAGTTTTGATAAGCGAAATTCCTATATCAAATAACAATACAAACTGACGTCAAATTGAAGCAACATTTTGCAGGCTCTAAGGCCTAAGCAAAGACTCACCTATCTGACCAAGGAGCTCAACTTTTATCCCATTGTGATCGACCTTCTTTCCTTGAACTGGTTCTAAAGAAATCTGAATCCAACATCACAAAATACATAAAGTGGACACGAATATTGTGAAACTGCCACTAATATATTCAGAATTGATTTCTAGATTTAACAATTGCTTAGATTGATTCAACGGTCATTATTCCAATATCACGCAACATACCTTGCCAGAAATGTTTTCTTGACTTTGGAAAAGAGAGACCATCACTGTTTGGCCATTTTCCTTCTTCAGTGGAACCTACGGAAATGTATGTATAAAAGAACTATTATTATGATAGCATAACCAAGCATAACATGTCAATCATATTGAACTCATGGAAGTTGACTGGTGGGAAATCGAATGCCATCAACGAGTCACAAACACAAACATATGAATATAGCAGCTCATGGACCAAAAAAAGGAATGTTTAAAATAGGGAAAAAGAGAAACCCATAGTAATTATGTCCTTTACAGCAACATCAAAGTACAGTGCAACTGCTTTGTTTCAATTGGTCCATCAAACCTATATCCTCGTTACCTATAGTTGCAACCCAGTAAAAAACTATTCTTCAAAAGGCTAATATCTCATTAAGAAGAGGTATTGACAACAGCACTGAACATGAACAAGAAAGCTCAAAAAATCAGAGTCGCAGAGAAGATTCATTAATAAGTTCCCTTCATTAATTCCACTAGCTACAACACTCCCAATTTTCTCACCGCCCTCGGCAATTAACACATGTATAGTACGATCACTACAAGAATTGACTTACTGAACCCTATCAACAACAATGATACCTGCTTGCGAGCTTTACCATCAGAAAACGTGATTGAGATGTTGCAAGCCGGCTTGAAAGCTCCCATTATGAAATTCTGAAAAAAAAAAAAAAAAAACAAAGAATCGTATAGAAATCAAAGCACAAATCTGACCAGGTGATTCAGAACCAAAGCAAAACATGTGTCCAGTTACCAAATTCAAAGGCTTACCATGCTGTTTATAATCAAATTCCGATTCAGAACCCTTGTTTAAGATACCTGCAAAATTCAACGCTACAAACTTGAATTCAAAGCAACAGCATCTAAAAGTTGAGATGTAGAGTGAGAGAGTTCTTACAAGAGAGGAGACGAGTCGGATCTGTCACGATGAACGAAGAGATACTGATCTGAGGCGATCGGAATAGAGCGAGAAATAGCAGAGACGAACGCAAAGTTCAACCCCCAACTTAAATTTTATTTAGTCTTTTGAAATTCTGATTACAATAGTCTTTAAAATTTTAATTAAATTTTAATTTAGCCTTTACGTTAAAATTTACCGATGATCCGTTTGATACGATAAAAAAGTAAGAGGATGAAAAGTTAAAAGGATAAATAAAACATCATGTTTGATAAGGAAGAAAAGTAAAAAGAATTAAAAAGTAGATGAATTAATTTTTCTTCCAATTCACTAAAATCAATCCCTCAAAAATCAAAAAGAAAGTGGATGAAAAATTAATTATTTGTGTTGAGATGTATCTTATTTGTCTATATATCTTATGTATACATTAATTTCATTTAAAAGTACAATGGTAAAATATGTATATATATATTTTTAAAAAATTTAAAAATTAATTTTTAAAAAATTTAAAAAATTTAAATTTAAAAAAAATATATGTTTTCCATTTTAACTGAGGCCAAAAATTTTTCGACTCAACACGATTCGAACTCGATACGAAAATAAATAAGTCAACTCGCAACTCGACACGACATAATTAGTTAAATGAGTTAAGTTAGATTTGACTAATATTCGACACAAACTCTTAATGACTCAACACGAATCTGACACGACACGACTCGACTCTATTGTCACCCCTAATGTTAGCCAACACAAAAAAAAAATAGTTATTTTTATTTTTCATTCATCCAATCAAACACAAAAGAAGGAAAGTATATCATTCCTACTTTCTATCCTTGAAGGATAGAAAGTGTATCCCTCCTACTTTTCATCTTTCCTGTTTTTTATCCTCCCTACCAAACATAGCACAAATGTTTTGTGACTGATACGATCTTCCTGTGATCAACATAATTTTGAGGGAAAAAAAAAGATATTAAAATAAAAGTTTGACAGATATTATGAGATAAAAAAATATTTTTTATTAAATAAATATATTTTTATGAATAATTTAACAAATTAATAAATGTGAAAAGAAGAATTAAAATAAAATTCAATTAAAACTTTAAGATATAATTGTATCACTTGAAACTTGAGGGATCAAATAAAAATTATACGTTTATTTTAAGTCTTTAAATTGAAAATTACGACCATATAAAAAAAATTGTAAATTACCCTCNAATTTAGTCCTTAAAATTTTAATTAAATTTTAATTTAGCCTTTACGTTAAAATTTACCGATGATCCGTTTGATACGATAAAAAAGTGAGAGGCTGAAAAGTTAAAAGGATAAATAAAACATCATGTTTGATAAGGAAGAAAAGTAAGAAGAATCAAAAAGTAGATGAATTAGCTTTTCTTCCAATTCACTAAAATCAATCCCTCCAAAATCAAAAAGAAAGTGAATGAAAAGTTAATTATTTGTGTTGAGATGTATCTTATNACATTGTGGGAGTAGCTTGAAACTGCACTGCGGGCCTGAACCGACATTGTTGATCGGTTGAAAGTTTGGGGTCGTTGGGTATCGTGAGATACTTGAAGGAAAAAGGAAAATTATATAATTGACCAAGTCCCTGCAGTTTAGTTACTCCTCGTTTAACATACCAAAGGACAGAAGGAAAGCACAATTCAAGAGAAATGGAATGATGGAATGCTATCAAAAATNAATACAATGGTAAAATATGTATATATATATTTTTTAAAAAATAAAAAATTTAAAAAATTTAAATTTAAAAAAAATATATGTTTTCCATCTTAACTGAGGGCAAAAAATTTTCGACTCAACACGATTCGAACTCGATACAAAAATAAATAAGTCAACTCGCAACTCGACACGACATAATTAATTAAATGAGTTAAGTTAGGTTTGACTAATATTCGACACAAACTCTTAATGACTCAACACGAATCTGACACGACACGACTCGACTCTATTGTCACCCCTAATGTTAGCCAACACAAAAAAAAAATAGTTATTTTTATTTTTCATTCATCCAATCAAACACAAAAGAAGGAAAATATATCATTCCTACTTTCCATCTTTGAAGGATAGAAAGTGTATCCCTCCTACTTTCCATCTTTCCTATTTTTTATCCTCCCTACCAAACAGAGCACAAATGTTTTGTGACTGTACGATCTTCTTGTGATCAACATAATTTTGAGGAAAAAAAAAAGATATTAGAATAAAAGTTTGACAGATATTATGAGATAAAAAAATATTTTTTATTAAATAAATATATTTTTATGAATAATTTAACAAATTAATAAATGTGAAAAGAAGAATTAAAATAAAATTCAATTAAAACTTTAAGATATAATTGTATCACTTGAAACTTGAGGGATCAAATAAAAATTATACGTTTATTTTTAGTCTTTAAATTGAAAATTACGACCATATAAAAAAAATTGTAAATTACCCTCTAGTCAAAAAAAAATTATAAATTACTCGATGCTTTAACCATGAAAAGTTCCTACTTACCCAAAAAAAAAAAAAAAAAAAAAGTTCCTGTTTACTCCCTCTAATGGCGCGTGAGGCTATTATCACGATTCCCCCTGTGCGGTCCAGAATATGGAGTAAATATTGAATATTTTCTCCAGAATATGGGCCATTGGGCCCATACCAGATGCAACATTATGTCCCAGATTGTGGGAGTAGCTTGAAACTGCACTGCGGGCCTGAACCGACATTGTTGATTGGTTGAAAGTTTGGGGTCGTTGGGTATCGTGAGATACTTGAAGGAAAAAGGAAAATTATATAATTGACCAAGTCCCTGCAGTTTAGTTACTCCTCGTTTAACATACCAAAGGACAGAAGGAAAGCACAATTCAAGAGAAATGGAATGATGGAATGCTATCAAAAATATGCGATACGGAAAACAGTTTGATGCAACATGCTCAGAGAATTGACTGTACAACAGCCGCCTCAGAAGATCAGAAACTGTGTAATTTATCCAGACCAAGTATACTCATACAAATAACATGTGCTTTGTAACGTCGTTATACAGGGCAAACAGAATTATGCGGGGTTTGGGAACAGAAAAGAGAGAATTTCAAGGTTCTTGGGCATCTGGCTGGAGGTTCAAAATTTGGGAAACCACAAGCTTAGAGACCTCGCTGATGATTGCAGCTTGGACCGGATAATCCTCTGCCTCACAGTGCCTTGACCATCCTGATGTTTGTGAGCTTAAACTGGTGTATTCACCCGCTGCAACCTTTGTCTTCTTTGATGTGGCAATAACTGTCTCCAGATCTGCTTGCAACAATGGCCTTGGTTCCTGAAAAGAAAACAATACAAGATCAAGAAACTCGGTAATAAGATTTAATATTCCGCTATATAACTATATTGTACCTCATACCACTCTGCTTAAACTGGCATACCTCAATGAAAAATATATGGGATATAATTGCAAACTAGATGGCATAGCATGAGAAAGATGAGTATACTAACCAGAGATGACTTCCCATTCTTCTCATCATCAAGTAGGTCCCTGATGGGAAAGTAAGCAGCTTTCTTGCAGAGCTCAAGAAGATCAGAACCAGTGTATCCATCACACAAGCCAGCTATATGGAAATAGTCAATGCCATCTTCAACCTTCTCACCCTTCAAAATCACTCTCAGTATTTCAACCCTCTCTCTGTGATCAGGAATCCCAATCTCAAAGGCCTGAGGGAGCCGCCGAAGAATTGCTTCATCAAGCTCCGATGGACGATTCGTTGCAGCAAGCACCATTACGCGGGCATTCTCTGCATAGACAACATCAGTCATCAAACCAACCACAACTCAAACAAGAGAATCCAGTATTCAGGATGCTTTAGACAATAAATACCACCACTCTACAGGAAACAGAGAGACAGAAGGAGAGTGGATAACTCACGGTCAGTGGTGAAACCATCCCATAGTGCCATGAACTCGGTCTTCATGTTTGTTAGTGCTTCATGGTCATTAGTCTTGCGCTGACCCAAAAAACTGTCCACCTCATCAATGAATATAATAGCAGGCTGTAGTTTATAGGCCAAGCTAAATACAGCAACCACTGCAAAAAGGTTTTGTAACATGTCAGTAAACAAATTGCAGCATTGGGCAGAAGGGATACCAAAGAAAGAAAGCACTTTTATCAAGTTTAGTCTATGAATCCACAGTGGGACATTCTCAATTCAAAGTGGACTTTAGGGGCAAAGCCAAGACCAAAGGTGCCTAATAGCGTAGGGAAACTAATCGGATAGCAAATCCCATCCTCAGCTAAACCAAGCCCCGCCTGGTATGGTAGCCTAATCGGCTTAGCTGCCTTAGTTTCCTTTCCTTATTAGCAGTCCATATTTCAAACACATGCATCAATTTTTATTTTTATTTTTATTTTTGGGGTAAATCACATGCATCAATTTTAAAATCCAAGAATTATTACCAAAAAAAAAAAAAGGCACCAGCCAACGCTCACCGTGGGAACAAAATTAACGATCTAAATTTTGCAGCTAACTGTGAGAGAGAAAGAGGGAAAACAGGGGGGGGGGGTTAGGGAAGAAATGAGTTGAGTTGAGAAGTAGGTTGCTCACGCTAGTTTTACACAAACTTTAAAATATACCTTAGCTTGATTCCTATATATTACAAGCTGTTACCAGACAAGCCTTTGTTGAGCTGAGCCCAAGTAGGTTGACTTTCTGTATGGTTCTTGAATACTAACTAGCTTATCGAGCTGAGATCCAGCCAAGCTCAAACAATTAACAAGCATAAAAATGTGCTTGAGCTTGCCTCGTTTATCAACTAGTCGAACTAGAAAGCGCCTCCAACAGGTCAAACCTAAGTAGTTTGGTTTGATTCACAGCCCTAGGGAGAATAACTGAATAAGCACTGNAATGGGCTTTAGGGGCAAAGCCAAGACCAAAGGTGCCTAATAGCGTAGGGAAACTAATCGGGTAGCAAATCCCATCCTCAGCTAAACCAAGCCCCGCCTGGTATGGTAGCCTAATCGGCTTAGCTGCCTTAGTTTCCTTTCCTTATTAGCAGTCCATATTTCAAACACATGCATCAATTTTTATTTTTATTTTTATTTTTGGGGTAAATCACATGCATCAATTTTAAAATCCAAGAATTATTACCAAAAAAAAAAAAAGGCACCAGCCAACGCTCACCGTGGGAACAAAATTAACGATCTAAATTTTGCAGCTAACTGTGAGAGAGAAAGAGGGAAAACAGGGGGGGGGGTTAGGGAAGAAATGAGTTGAGTTGAGAAGTAGGTTGCTCACGCTAGTTTTACACAAACTTTAAAATATACCTTAGCTTGATTCCTATATATTACAAGCTGTTACCAGACAAGCCTTTGTTGAGCTGAGCCCAAGTAGGTTGACTTTCTGTATGGTTCTTGAATACTAACTAGCTTATCGAGCTGAGATCCAGCCAAGCTCAAACAATTAACAAGCATAAAAATGTGCTTGAGCTTGCCTCGTTTATCAACTAGTCAAACTAGAAAGCGCCTCCAACAGGTCAAACCTAAGTAGTTTGGTTTGATTCACAGCCCTAGGGAGAATAACTGAATAAGCACTGCGTTCATGGACATTATTACAAAAGAAACCCCACCTCAACAGGGTTGAAAATTATGTTTTTTTGAACAAAAAGGCCATGAAGATGAGGTTGAAAATTAACTGACAATTCTGAAAGAAGGAAAAATTGGGAAAAAAAAATAAAACCCCTGAAACAGTTCTTAAGCTAACTGCAACAGCCAAAAAGTACAAAGGAGACACAATCATAACATTGAATCAAACCTAAAATCTAAGCCATGATTGTAATTTCCACTCTATCTCTTAAGTGCACGGCCATTTTAATCACCCAAAAAACCTCTTTAGTAAGGTTTCCTTATACAACTATTTTATTATTTTAAGATGAAGTGTTTGGTTGGTTAAGTAGTTTTAGTCTCTCACTACTGCTGTCCCCACCTGTTGGCCCTGTGCATTACAAAGGAGTGTCATTTATGATATGCTCTTCTAATTGATTGCCACCTGGTTACATATTTTTCTTTCAGGGTCAACTGTACTTCAATCTACCACTTTGCACTCTAAATGATATTTAAAAATTATCTTTTTGGAGTGCCANCGACTGTACTTCAATCTACCACTGTGCACTCTAAATGATATTTAAAAATTATCTTTTTGGAGTGCCACAAGTGATGTTTGGAGTGCCAATATTGTTGCCCTCAAAGAAACTTTCAAAACTCATTCCGAAGCCTTTTTGATCGCTAACAATAAGATTTGAACCATCAACCCTCATCTCTCCGTTTAGATGTCATGCCAACACTTAACCATTCTACTACAACAACTTTTCTGCTATTTAAAGCTTTTTAATAATGCTAGAGTAAACCAACATAGAGTTAACCAAAGTCATTGTAGCGCAATAGTTAAGTGCTTACATGACATCTAGAAAGGAAACAGCGAAGTTGGAGCTTTAATCTTATAGAGGCAAAGTTTGGTCCCACAATAAATTATCTCAATCTATCCAATCTTGGTGAAATGGTTATGAAGGCTTTTGTGGAATCATTCCTACTTTTTTAGCTCATCTTTAGGATAGAATACTAGTACCTGCTGATGCATATTTGTCAATAAACTTTCAAATTCCATTTGAAAGCCTTTTTGGTTGGTCCTTATCTCTCCCCTTACATAACATATCAATATTCTACAATGCTATTACAACAAAAAACTGAATGCATGCTTCCCCCTTTTTCATCTTTCAAAATAGGAACTAGGATAAAAGCAGCCAACCATTCTTATTTAATAAGAGGGTGGCACTTGCTTTTTGGGAGAGAGAGAGAGAGAGCAAGAGATGGTAAATACCAAATAACTGTGTTTTCACACCAACACTTGCATGCATATGTTATCTCTCTCCTTGTATCAAAGTCCATTTGATTAATAACACCTTGGTTCATACCCAAAGAATTAAAATCTAAAAACCCCAATCATATGCTCTTGCAAATACAATTTCAATCAACCTAAGGATAATTAACTCTAGATGTGAAGAAGAGTGTCGGCACAACAATTATGTTTCTCATCCACCCGTTTGTTATATTCATATGTTTTCTAGGACATCTCCATGCCAGATGTATCAATTACAGTTACTCTAAACTGCATTGATTATCTCTATTGCTAACATTAAAGCTGGAAGTGAAAAGCACAGTTCTAAAATTGCTTCTAGAGGACTAAGTTGATTGAAGTTATCAGAATTCAAGATCACGGACATAGCCAAACAACAACAAACTAAGAAAGCATGCCTTCAATTGTGAACTCATATCCTAAAGTGTGCACCATACATCAGTCTTTGTATCACTTGAAGAATTTGGGTGACACGAGATTTAGTTTTTTTGATTACTACTCAGTGACAAAGAGATGAATATACGTATCACAAATTCACAGCACACTCAAAACAACTAAAACAGACTATTCAAGGGAGAAATAATGCAAAGAAACAACCTCATATATAAGAAGAGTAGTGAGAATCTGATCTACACTCACCAAGTTTTTGTGCATCACCAAACCATTTGCTCATTAGATTCGATATCCTTACATTAATGAAAACAGCTCCAGACTCTTTTGCAATAGCTTTAGCTAGCATAGTCTTTCCGGTGCCAGGGGGTCCATATAACAAGACCCCTTTTTGGGGACCAAGGAGCTTCCCATGAGAAAACAGTTCAGGTCTCCGTAGTGGAAGAATAACCAATTCATATAATGCTTGTTTGATGGTTTCCAAACCTCCTATAGAGTTGAACTCCACGGCAATGTGCTCAGGATTAATAACATCGCAGGCTATTACATCCTGTTGATGATTAAACAAAAGAAGAAATATGTAAATTCCTTGCTGCCTACGCAACGTGATGTGATACCTATGAACATTAAGAACCCACCCCATCCCTATTACCAGAGAGGGTGCAACCCCATCAAAATCCAAAATCTTAAAAGAAAAAATAACTAAATTCAATTCCGTGTGAAATGACGTATAATGCGAATCACACAAGATCTAAAAATTTTCATGAAGGTGAGATGACCTGAAGTAATTGACCATCATCTAATCACTAGCGCTCAAAGAGATGCCCAATAAAAAGGATGTATAAAAACGCACAATCTATTTCGCTCAAATCCAACTTGTATCAATTAAGATAAAGCATGCCAAGGCATCCCAAGGATTGTGAATCATTTGAACCTAAAGACATACTAGAAATAAATTGAAAGGATTAACAAGGGTCTATTAGGTTCAACGGATACCATTTCCTACGGAAAAGACTCATATTTCAACTGGCCAACAGGCAAGCCATTTCCCTGTGGCCACATATAGTATCTGGCTCTTTGCACATCCTCCTCTACTAAAAAGCATTGTATTTTCACTTCTACTGTGCTTATTTGGTTCCATCTAGGTATACCATTATCTCATAAAAACTTCAAAAACACACAATGCCAACGAGGGTTTAGAAACAACAAAAATATATAAGATAATGGTATAGATGGATGTATCAATTGAGGGAGAGACCTCATAGGGATTAGTTTGAATTAGAGGTCGGCCCAAACGCTTGGCGACTTCCTTCTTATGTTCTAGGGCTTTCTTTGAGGCCTCCCGATTAGGGTCGAGGTGTCGGAGCCCCGCGAACAACGCCAAGCAGCTGAGAGCGGCGCTCGTTGCGTACAAAAAAAGTTCTTGCAAGAACTTTGTCTCTGAACCTCCCTTCATTGCCTTAATAACTCTTTCTTCACTGATTATATTGTGTGTGTGTGTGTGTATATCAATTTGAAAACAAAAAGTAGGGTTTGGGGGTTAGAGACAGAGAGTTGAGGATGACCAGCGAATTCTTCCTTCGTCTGGAAGATTAAGAAATAAAGAGAGTGATTTTCGAAAAGGAAAAGGTTCTTAAAGTATATAAATACCCTTTTCCGCAGCACGTATTTAAGTGCACCGTCTTCTTCCATTGCTTTATTGGGCTGAAAACGGATCGCAATATCTCGATATGAATAATCCTATTTGTTAGACCATAGCATCTGGATATAGGGCAAAGGGTATGGAAGCCCAAAGGGCCTTGGATCTAACAATCTCTATCCCAATATCTGGATACAGGGCAAAGGGTATGGAAGCCCAAAGGACATTGGGTCGGATTGTTAGACCATCTCCAATCTTCATCTTTTGTTTTAAACAAAATAAAATATAATTATTTAGAAGTTGGAACACCTAATTAGACTTATTTGATAAAAAGTACACAGAACAAAATGATTTAGAAAAAAGTACACAGCTGAGTTACAAAGACATAAATACCCATTTTAGGGTCATTTAATTCAAAATCGCTTATATTTAATGCACCTCAATTCATNTATGGATATAGGGCAAAGGGTATGGAAGCCCAAAGGGCCTTGGATCTAACAATCTCCATCCCAATATCTGGATACAGGACAAAGGGTATGGAAGCCCAAAGAACATTGGGTCGGATTGTTAGACCATCTCCAATCTTCATCTTTTGTTTTAAACAAAATAAAATATAATTCTTTAGAAGTTGGTACACTTAATTAGACTTATTTGGTAAAAAATACACAGAACAAAATGATTTAGAAAAAAGTACACAGCTGAGTTACAAAGACATAAATGCCCATTTTAGGGTCATTTAATTCAAAATCGCTTATATTTAATGCACCTCAATTCATGTTTGTTTGTTAATACATATAAATATGTATTTAATGCACCTGGATTTATGTGTATTTATTAATATATATATATATATATATATATATATATATATTTGTTTATTATATAAGAATATATATACATATACTTGTTTATATATATACTTATTGTTAAATCTCTTATCTAAATTTTGAATTATCTTTAATGCACTTTGATTCATGTGTATTTTTTTTTTGGGAAAGTGATCTTGTTTTAAAATTATATTTAATACATCTTAATTCAAACGATTTTTTTTTTTTTGGAAAATGATTTTATTTTCAAATTAATTTAATATCCGAATAATNATTCAAACGATTTTTTTTTTTTTTGGAAAATGATTTTATTTTCAAATTAATTTAATATCCGAATAATGTAATAGTGTAACAAATACACTGTAACAAGACTGTGGAACAAATACACTGTAACAAAAACAGTGTTCAGTAGTTTTGTGTATGTGATAACAAATTTAAAACGAAGATGGACTATTTTGAATGAAATTATATGAAATATATGTTTGACAAAATGTAATAGTACAATATTTTGTGTAAATAGCTTGTTACACTGTTATTGTTCTACTGTTACACTTTTATTGTTACACTATTACACTATTCAAATATTAAATTAATTTGAAAATAAAATCACTTTTCAAAAAAAAAAATACATAAATCAAGGTGTATTAAAAAATAATTCAAAATTTAGATAAAAGAATTAACAATAAGTATATACATACATATATATATATATATATATATAACACATGAATCAACGTGCATTAAAATATAATTTTTNTATTACACTTTTATTGTTACACTGTTATTGCTACACTATTACACTATTCGGATATTAAATTAATTTGAAAATAAAATCACTTTCCAAAAAAAAAAATACATAAATCAAGGTGTATTAAAAAATAATTCAAAATTTAGATAAGAGAATTAACAATAAGTATATACATACATATATATATATATATATATATAACACATGAATCAACGTGCATTAAAATATAATTTTTATACATATATGTTTTTATATATACATGAATACAAATTTGAAATTCAAAAGAGTATATATATACATTTTTATATATACATAAATACATATATATATATATATATATATAACACATGAATCAACGTGCATTAAAATATAATTTTTATACATATATGTTTTTATATATACATGAATACAAATTTGAAATTCAAAAGAGTATATATATACATTTATATATATATATATATATATATATGTATGTATATGTATTAAAGTTTTCTCATAAAACTAGTAGATGTTTAATGCATCATTTTCTAAAGAAAAGTAATGGAGGACAAAAATGTCACAAAAAATCAAAAAAATTCGAATAATGTATTTAGATACAAATAAGTATCAAAATTAAGAACTTAATTACCCTACATTTTTTTCTATGTACTTTTTACAATTAATTTTAATTTGGTGTACCTCCTTCCAATTTTCTCAATAAAAAATTCTTAAAAACCTTCTCAAATGCTAGATTTACCCATACCAAATAAAGAGAAACCCATTTTTAAACTCAAATCAAGGAAAATCATTTTTTAAACCTAATATTTCATGGTGAGATTACATTTTCCGTTAAGATCTAATGGTCATATTTACCTTTTTTTAAATTTGGATTTATCCTCATTTAAATTTGAATTTCTCTTTCTTTAAAAAAATAGTTTGTCCATTGGAAAGGTTTATACCAAATCAAACTTTTTACTTTTTGTTTACTCAAATTTGGATAAGAGTTTTGGTCTCCATTGGATATGCTTAATAGACTATGATTCAAACCACTCAAGTTCCAATTAAATTTGACTCAGTTTTAAATTAGTTTTTTATCAGAGTTTTAATTCAGTTAAACTCATTTAAATTGTAAAATTAATGAAATATGGTCCAATCTTTAAGTTGTTTGGTAATTGAATCAATTTCAAGTGACGTGATGGCTCTCTTTGAGTTTATTAAATTGATGTCTACAGATACTTCTATTGTCTTGTAGGGTGTACTCAAATGAATGCGTAGGATAAGTGAATGGGATGAAAAAACTCAAATTTCTTATCAATGAAGGGATCAACAAGTGAAGAAAAGGTTTCTTGTGTAGGTGGTAATGGTAAATTCTCTCATCAACCAATATGCCTATCTTAAACTAAATAAAAGTGTCTATTGCAAGGCAAGTATTGCTCGTATTTATAAAACAATACTCGGACAATCCAAGTTGCCCATCATTTACCTTGTACGAGAGTTAGTGTTGTACTAACACCTGTGCCAACTTGCAATTACTTTGACTACGACGATATCATTTACCACAAATCATGTGTTTCAGTGTTAATTAGGCAGATGTGATATTTTTTGAATCCAGTATAAATGCGGCCCTCAATGAAGGATATAACAATCAAGGTCAAAGGGGAATTCTCAAAGTAAGAGGGCACTGTGGGACCATGACCATTGCAGGGATCATGCTGCCAGTGACCCTAGCACACTCCTACCCAGGTTCTTCCATTATCCTTTCGATCTTTTCCCGAAACCTTTGTTGAGGTACCCAATAAAGGAGATTCACATAATTTTGGTCTTTTAACCATTAATTTACATGTTTCATTATCTCATATATTGATCCAAATCAATGATTTCAATTACCATAGGAAGAGTCCCTCCGAATCCCAGTCAAGCATAGCCTAGTGAGTATTAAGTCATACGCTGGGAAATCTGTTTAAGCAAACTAAACTTCCGAGACCTTACCTGAAGTCAAGATTGATAATCATATGCGTTTTACCCCTAGTTACTCAATTTTTACTTGAAGAGGGTCATACTGCATGTCTTTAGGTGGGGACCCTTCTTTTAGTCCACTGAACTAGTTGAAAAATGGTGTCCCATTGGTTGACTTTACCACAACAGACATCCAATGGTCCTAGGTTCTCTCTAGGGGTCCCAATTCGAGGGTCACAATCCAAAGGTACCCATTGAGGGTAGATTAAAGATACAAATCCTGTTAATTGTGAGATCCCAGTTTTATATTTTATTTTTCACGTGGAAGAGGCAAATCACACTAAGGTTTTTCCCAGACTTTTACAATGTCACTCTTGTCCATTCTTAGTTAAGGTTCCATTTTGTTATTTTCAATGTAATGAGGATGTGTCACACCCCTTCTGTGGTGCTTTATGCTTCCTGCGATACACAATGCTTGTTGCGACACTGGTGTGTTACCGCAACACCGTTGGTTGTAGCCTTGTACCAATTCTGCATGACCCTATTGGCCCCGACTACCATAACAATTGCTAACTCTTGCCATTTGTTGATACATAATATGGACATGTGAATTTATATACTATACTATACATTTTTAACAAATAATTATTGCAAAAATATCATCAAGTAGCTTCAGATTATATAAGCTGTTTACATTTATTTTTTCCAATTTAATTTAGGAAAACTTCAACCGGGTTTTGATTTTATGAATAATTTACAAGTTATAAGGATAATATTCTAAGAAATTTAATGATTTTATGATTGACCATTGAATGCTAAAGTTTAGTCTTTGGAAAAATTTATGCTTTATTTTCAATTTTACTTCTCAAAAGTTTCTATCGAGCCAAGCTCAAGCATGAATGCAAACTTGACTTATACTCGAGCTTCACCGGTCACAACTAAACTAAGTCTCAATATATTAAAAATAGATGATCTCCACCAAAAGAATCCACTCTATGTATATAGGTCGGATTTAAGGTTTATGAAAATCATCAAAATTGTGATTTTTGACCCATTTGGTGTTATAATAAACTATGGACCACAAATAATGTATCAAAAATCAAGAACAATAGTATTTATACTTAATTTATTAATTTAAATTATTAACCTAATGTGTTTTAATTCTTGAATTGACAATAGACTTTAATATTAGTTGAGACATGTTCTTAATTTAATGACCACGATTCGTTGAGTGAACAGAAAATTTCAAATAATAATGTTTAAATAACATTTATTTTTCATAAAGTAGATGTAACAAAAAAAATATATAATTAAATGAGTAATATTATATTGACCATATTTTGAGCCCAAATGATATGTCAACTGGCTTGAGCTTCTTTACTTAGTGTCATGTCATTTGGGTCCCAATAAAAACTCTAAATAATAACTGTCATGTCATTTAAATTTAAAATTTGATTCTAAAATTTAGTCAATCCAACATTAATGTAATTAAATAGAGCACATCAGATAATTCATGTTTATCACACGCTACAGCAATCACCAGGATATCTCTTTAAGGATCTTTGTAATTTAATGGAAAAAGTAAATAAAAGAGTGAGATTGCATCATTTCTGACTTATGGCAGTCACTTGTTTACGCGTGGTTATGCCTATGCGGGGATAAAGTTGTTCAACTTTGGACGGTCGGATTGGAGATTCCAATCGTCAACTTTGGGGCCCGTTGTCTTGTCTGCACCTCAACCCAATCACTATCATTAATGTCACTGACTCTGCAAACTTTTTCATTTCTTCGATGCACCATGGTGTTTAGACCACACGCCAAAAGCTAAACCACCCTTTACTTACTTGTATGGAAGAATCCTCCAATCCCAATTTTTCCATTAAAGAACTTATCATCACATCACTGCTCTGTCTCTTTCTGAAAGTTTAGAGAGAGAAAGTAGAGAGAGGTTGGAGTCAACTAGAGGTAAGCTAGTACCATCTGTGTTATTTATTTATTTATTTTTGATTAATCACCATCAGTGTTTCAAAAATAACAATTGTGTCGGAGGTGGAATACTTGGGTTTTGGTTAGTGTGTACTACAACGCCAAACTAATTTGTACTACCCGGGAAGTACATGGAATAGTCTCGCTATCTTTTCAATTTTCACATTCACAGTTGGTAAGCTTTCTTTTGATTCAGTGCTTATAAATCTGCTTTTTAACGGTTGATTATGTTGTGTACTGCTCGTTTCTGGTGATTTTTGAAAGTGATTAGATTAGAGAGAGAGGGGAAGAATCCATCTGGGATTTGTGGGCGTTCAATTTATTTTTTTTTGTGTGTGCATCTGGGGATTGGGGAATTCTTTGCTTTATCCCGAGTATATGCAGAGGATGTCAAAGAGTCATCGAGCATTTGGCGGTGATCTCTGTGCTCTTTTTATGGTTTTTGTGGATGTCTGAGGGAGTATAGATTAAAGCTAGCAAATACCCTGGGGAGCATTTTGAGTCTTTTGATGAGTTCTCACATATAACTGAAGAAGAAGAAGAAGAAGATTGCTCAGGTGAGAACTCATGTAGATTCTGATTCTTGGATTGCATTATTGTATATCCTTTTATTTCTTAGGATTTTTTCTTATTTTGCCTACTGTTTGATGATGTAGTACAGTATTAGACAAGGGTGAACACTTGAAATCATTGAAATAGGGAGGCATGGATATGGAAGAAGTGAGAGAAATTCAGAGGGAGGACTTGGGAGAGGTGAGAGACCAGCCGGAGGAAGCAAAGAGGATTCCCCCATGGACACAACAGATCACAATCCGAGGAATTTTCGCGAGCTTAGTTATTGGAGTGCTTTACAGTGTAATAGTAATGAAGCTCAACCTCACCACCGGGCTAGTCCCTAATCTGAATGTGTCAGCTGCTCTTCTTGCCTTCGTGTTCATCCGGACATGGACCAAGCTGCTTCAAAGGACCAGAATTGTCTCAACTCCCTTCACTCGACAGGAAAATACAGTAATTCAGACCTGTGCTGTTGCCTGTTATAGCATTGCTGTTGGAGGTGCTGATTATGAGGCTTCAATCTTGCATATTTTTCGTTGATATATTATTGTTTTGACTTGATTAATGGTGTTTATATATATATATATATATTGTTCACTCATGTTTTGTTGGATAATTTTTGGGTTTTAGGTGGCTTTGGGTCTTATCTCCTGGGGTTAAACAAGAAGACATATGAGCAGGCTGGGGTTGATACAGAGGGGAATTCGCCAGGGAGCTTCAGGGAACCTGGGCTCGGTTGGATGACTGGCTTCCTCTTTGTTGTTAGCTTTGTAGGACTGCTGGCCTTGGTCCCTCTGAGAAAGGTATGTTCTTATATCTGCTATATTCTTACTTGATTGTACACTTGAGAGCATTTATCTTACTGGTTTGGGGTTGATGTTTGGTGAATTCATTGAGCTATATAGTATTTGGACACATAATTAGTCGAATACCGAATATCACAGTAATCTTCACTGTCTGTTAAGCTTGTTGTTAATTGAACATAAAAGGGTCCTTGTCTCAATCTTGCAATTTTGTGTTGTCCTGCAGATCATGATAATTGATTACAAATTACCTTATCCGAGCGGAACTGCTACTGCGGTTCTCATCAATGGTTTCCATACTCCTAAGGGAGACAAAATGGCCAAGTATGCATCCATTATCACAAATTCTTGTTTTATCAAGTTCAAGTTACAATAGAGCTCAAGTGTGGAACAACTCAAAACAAGTTTTGATCCTTTTTGCAGGAAGCAGGTTCGTGGGTTCATGAGATTCTTCTCGATCAGTTTTATATGGGCTTTCTTTCAGTGGTTCTATTCTGGTGGAAAACAATGTGGATTCACCAACTTCCCTACATTTGGGTTGAGTGCCTGGAAACATTCGTGCGCAATTGACTCTGTTCTTTGCATGCTTCTGTTTTACTACTCATGATTGGTAATCTTTCAATCATTACTGACTTGAGCAAAATCAATTTTGCAGATTTTACTTCGATTTCAGCATGACTTACATTGGAGCAGGGATGATCTGTTCCCATCTTGTGAACTTGTCTTTGCTTCTTGGAGCGGTGCTCTCATGGGGCATGATGTGGCCACTGATAAGCGAACGCAAAGGAGATTGGTTTCCCAAATCTTTACCAGAAAGCAGTATGAAGAGTCTAAATGGGTACAAGGTTGGTGAATAAGGAATCTATTTGTCCAATTATGTAGCCAGAAACTCCATTGGATGGCTGATCAACATTCATTTTGATCTGGAATACCTATCTAGCAAAAGAACTCTGTATCAATAGCTTGTGTTTTGCAGGTTTTCATTTCTATTGCTCTCATTCTAGGAGATGGGCTCTACAATTTTCTCAAGACAGTTTATTTCACCAGTAGAAACATACATTCTTCGTTGAACAAGAAGAACCCCAAAACATGTAATATTGGCAACTTTTCCGTCTACTCGCACCTATCTCTGGCTTAGTGATGGAGCAAAGCCTGTTCCTCCCTGTCTTACTAGTAAACTAACACTGACTCAATTTTGCCTTGCTGCAGTTCCAGAAGAGAAGAATCAGCCCCTTGATGAACTTCAACGAAATGAATTCTTCCTAAGAGAGAGCATTCCCATATGGGTAGCGTGTACGGGGTACATCGTCTTCTCCATCATCTCCATCATTGCCATCCCCCTAATGTTTGCTGAGCTGAAGTGGTATTATGTCCTCGTTGCCTACATTATTGCACCATCTCTTAGCTTCTGCAATGCTTATGGTGCTGGTCTGACAGACATGAACATGGCCTATAACTATGGGAAGGTGGCCCTCTTTGTGCTTGCAGCTTTGGCTGGGAAAGATAGTGGCGTAGTTGCAGGGCTTATTGGATGTGGGGTGATTAAATCCATCGTTTCCATCTCCTCTGATTTGATGCATGATTTTAAGACTGGCCATCTAACCCTCACTTCCCCTCGATCGATGCTTCTTAGCCAAGCCATTGGAACGGCCATAGGCTGCGTCATAGCTCCTCTGACATTCTTCCTCTTCTATAGGGCTTTTGATGTTGGGAATCCCGATGGAGAATACAAAGCTCCTTATGCTATCATATACAGAAACATGGCGATTCTCGGTGTTGAAGGCTTCTCAGCCCTGCCCCAACATTGCTTGCAGCTTTGTTATGGGTTTTTCGCCTTTGCATTACTGGCCAACTTGCTGAGAGACATTTCACCAAAAGAGATGGGAAAATGGGTACCACTTCCAATGGCTATGGCAGTGCCTTTCCTAGTTGGTGCATATTTTGCAATTGATATGTGTATGGGGAGTCTGATTGTATTTGTGTGGCACAAACTAAACAGCAAGAAGGCCAGTTTGATGGTTCCAGCTGTCGCATCAGGTTTGATATGTGGAGATGGCATGTGGATTCTCCCTTCATCAATCCTTGCTTTGGCCAAGATTAATCCTCCAATCTGCATGAGTTTCTTGCCTACTCTGAAGTCCTGAGAAACAAGAGGGTTCGTTGGGGAAGAGAGGGTGAAAGAGCAAACGAATGAAAACAATAATTAGATGCGTGCTTAACTTGTAGTTTTGGGCAGGTATAGGGATGATAGAGAGGCACCTAATGCCATGTGAAAGATAATAATCCAGTTTTCTTATATGAATGTACTGAAACTAGTCTAGGACTGACTTGTGGGAGCCAAGGATGGGGAAAGATTGGTCCAAAGATGTATACAAACAACTATATGTTGTGGTGGAGAAGTTATATTTTATATAATCAAAAGTCAACATATTTAACTCTTTCCTGGGTAATCCACCGCACTATTTTCCCGTTTGGAACACCAGATATCTTTTGAAATTTTGGATGGTCGAATGAAATCAACTCTTTGAACCACCATAAACCAAAGACCTACCGCCTCCAAGAGTGCATAGGACTTTATCAGTGGAAAGACTTCATCAGACCTGATCATGATGAACCATTCCACTCAAGGTTGTGTTAAAGGCCCCATTCTCCTGTGCAGCTTCTACTTTTCTAGGTGCTGAGTAATAAACTATTTTTTTAGCCTGTGACAAATTTGTTTCACATTCTTTTTGGACCTCCAGTTCTTTATAAAGAAATCGATTTCAACCAAAAAACTTCCCTGTACCAAGAAGAGGGAGGGAAAAAAGGCACAGAACACTTGATACCTTGTGGAATTATCTCTGCCAGATCTCGTTATAGGCGAGACTTTCTGTAGCTGGTACAATTTTTTCTTTCCTTCATTTTTTTCTTCTTTTTTTTTTTTAGTTTTTAACATATGAGATGAGAATGCATACTATGAACCCCAGATTTTAGTGAACGTGAATGGATCAAAGTCCAACCACAACTCAATGGACCCAAGACTTCAACTGTCAATCTTCAATGCCTTAAATTTCAGACAAATACAATATCAGACCAGACTTATAAAAATGCCCGTCACTCGCATATGCATGGATAAACACATCAATCATCTGCTTGTTAAAATGGGAAAAGAAAAGAACGTAATTCCCACACAGCAAATTTCTATAATGACAGTCATCGACCAAATGATAGATAGAACTCTCAAAATTGGAGGTTGTGTGCATACAAGAGTAGCAAACTAATCCTACCGCATAAAGTATCTCCTAGTTACAGCATTCATGCCTTCCATCATCAACTTCCCAATTTTAAATTAAATTGATACATCTCATTAACTAATCAATTTTCATCTTGGTATCATGGCAAACATGGTTCTGACACCTTCTATGCAGAAAGTAAATGAATAGCCATGAATCCTCAATAATTGTAACGAGTTATTAACTGCTCCACTTGTAGTGTGGCAGAGGAATCCTTAATGGGGTTGTCTTCCACTAGGGACAATGTAAGCTTTGAAGACACTTACACATTTCTTCGAGCAGAATGTTGGAGGAGGAAGGAGTTTTCCTTTATTTCTCAGAATATCTATAAATTTGATACAGTATGCTTAAATGGCTGTGACTGCCAGATTTATATGCTTCTGTGGTTAAATACTAATTTCGGTTGGCCAAGTAAAAAGTTGAGAACTCCAAATCTTGATGATAGTATAGATCTTTTTTACAAGTATGCCAGAAAGGCAACATAAACCTTTGGCAAATCGCAACATACAAACGGTTTAATTTTTTTATACAATCTTGAGGATACAAAATAAAAGTCAATATTCAAATTATCATCTTCTACAAAAACCAGTTTTTATAATTATATAACTATAAATTTCTTCAAACTTCTAAAATAATGAATTGAAGCGGGTGGGATGCTAGTATTATGTTGAAAGGGATCATCCTATCCGAACACCAATTGTACCTTTTCCTGGAGCCATCAGCACATATTGGTGGCATTTAAGAGTATATTGAGAAAAGCTAAAAGACGTCCTATTCCTTCTCCAAATCCCATATAATTTATATCGACTATGTCAAAGATTCTAGAAAACACAGGTAATATATTTGCAAGTCCTAGCCCAAATTTACAATTAAATAAGCCTATCGTCTACTAACCTGAGAAAATATGTCCTTAATTTAGGGCAGGTTCAAATGGGACACCAACTGTTGTAGTTGATACAAAAATTGTGTGCATTATTAAGGATCCTATTCATATGAGAGATTGGCTTTACATTTGTTGTTTGAGGTCTAAATGAAGCAACATATCATGGGCAGAATCGAAAAAACATCATCAAAAATGAAATCTTTTCAAGTTAATGAGAACCAAAAAGCTTGATGCTTCTAATTTCTAAAGATTGCAAGTCATTCAACTTACTGCATATGCAATGCTACCAGCTACTAGCCACATTTATGGAAAGCTAAATGCACACCCAATTCACATGATCGAAATTGAGAAAATCATCGATTGCTAGGAGGGGTTAAACCCTTCGATCACATTCCCAATCCACAATTTACAAGTTTGAGAAAAATCTAATACAGTAGTAGTACGGTACCACATATATGTTATTTAACAATAGAGGAGCATCAATTAGATATGGCGTCCAAATTCGATTTCAGTTTCTCAATTACAGCTAAAAGTTCGACAAATTACAGAACAAAAAGAGGTTTCAATCAATCAATAAAACCTGTCTTCTGAAATACCGCGTTGCGAACACGACGCAAGTCCCTCCCTTTGAGTGTCCGGCCGACCCCTTCAAACACCGAGAAGGTCACGTGCGACCTCGCCACGATCTCGTGCGGCGGAACCATGTCCTCCTCATCGTCCACCTCGTCATCTACCTCATCAAAACGGCCCAAGTTCCCAAATCCCCCAATTTTCTTCGGCCACATCGGCACGTTCACCGGAGCTGATTGGTGGAACTTAACCCCACCTAAATTCTCCGACCGCAAAGGCGATATCGCCTTCGCCGCCGAAGCAGCTGAGAGTGATGGGTTTAGATTCGATTTCCGGCGGACCAGAGGGTGATGGTCGTCGGATAACGCGGCGGAGAGACCGGACTTTGATGGAGAAAAGTGGTGATGGTGGCGGAAATTGGTCGGAGAATTTGATAAAGACGGTGGAGACCGAGAGGGCGAGCGAGTGTCGGAGAAATCCGACGAGGAGGACCAAACGACGTCTCTCTCGTCCAGCTCGAACGGCTTCGAGGTGGGCTCGGAGCCTGGTTGTTTGATGAGACCGAGAAATCGGATGGATGAAGATGAGGGGATGGTATTGTGGAGAGACGCCATGGTCGTTGACTGAGAGAGTGGTTTCTTCAATGTTGAGGTCGTTGAGTTTGTTATAGTTTATCAAGGCGAAAGTAAAGGGCAGGTACGGAGAAAAAATAGGGGAATAATGGAGAGATATAGGAGGTTCAGGTGGCAGTAGTAACTTGCGAGATTATACTTATTTTATGCCACAGGTTTGTCAAGTGCGTAGGACCACCAAAAAGAGTGGTGGTGGCGGCGGCGACGGTGAAGATGGTGGCGGTGGGCAATAGTTGAAGTGAAGAATTTAAGATGGGCCACAGGGATCGTAGTGTGATTTCAAGTTGATTATGAACTGAATCATGTACAATTCGATTTAATATATCTTTAATTTTTTTTAAAGATTATCTGTCATGCATTGAGTTCCCACCTATTAATAATAGATTTTTAAAAAAAAATATATGTTAACAAAAATTTTGAATCTAAAAGATGAAATAACCTTCAAATTAGAACAGTCACTCAGGTATGTACACCACCAGCAGTGGGGAATAGTTTTACAAAGGGTGAAAGTCTGAGGGAACATGCTGTACAGAGATAGGAGGTTCACGGATCGTGAACTTCGTTTTTAGAGAATAAGTAATGATTAAGGTATAAACATTGACTAATTCTATACCACATGGTGCATGAGACACTAAATAATTTTCCTCAATTGGTATCTAAAACATCATTCGAAAGTAGACGAAAATGACATGTTTGACTTGCGAATTTGTTTGTAAGGTGAAATAATGATAATATATTTTATCTTTTGAAGAAACTTTTAGGCGATTTGACAATAATAATTGGACACGTGAATAATTGCAATTATTAAAGAATGTGAAGCAAGTCAAAAAAAAGTGTTGAAGAGTTATGATCTGAAGGACTCGGTATACTCCTTAGACTTTAGCATTAAAAAAGATCTGACAGTTCATTAATGGAGTCATGAGTGATTACAACAAAGTCATTAACAAGTGTCAAAGTCCGCAAAATATGAAAAAACAGTCATCATTATAAGATATTAATGGTCATTACGTGCTACATGAAGTTCGAGGTAAACCCCGAGGGTGCTTTAGTTCAGAGTTGTGAACACGTGGGCATAGATGTTGATGAGTCAAGCCTAAATAACTTAATTTATGTGAGAAGTTCAACCCCAATTGAGGAGCCCAACCTCATGAAAAATTCATCAAATCCAATATAGTTCAAGACAAGTTAAACTCTTTACTTAGCCACATCATCAAGGGAGAGAGCATGGGAAGCTTTATCTGTACCACCGNTTCATCAAATCCAATATAGTTCAAGACAAGTTAAACTCTTTACTTAGCCACATCATCAAGGGAGAGAGCATGGGAAGCTTTATCTGTACCACCGAAAGAAACGGTCCATCTTTGACCGCATCTCATGGAGAGCTCCTCAACCACCTCGCTCGTTGAGAAGAGATCGAGAGCTCCACCGAAATAGTTGCTTAGTCGCTGAAAAGTAGCCCCAACCTGTTAGGGAGCCACTATAAATTGCATGCTTCATCAACACTTGGAAGGACACTGATTGTTTGGCACCACATCTTCCTTGATTCTCTATTCTCCCTCGAAGCTTGTATTTTCTATCTCCATACCCTTAAATTAATAAAGTACTCGACAACGAAAGTCATTCAAGAGTGAACGTAGGTCGAGTTGACCGAACCACTATAAATCTTGTCTCCTCCAATTCTCTCTTTACTTTTACTGCATTTATTATTTATACTTGATAGGTGGTGTTCAAAACCATTTTTGTGCATCATCAGTTTGGCGCTGTCTGTGGGAAACTATAAAATTCTCATTCCTGAACATTATATCCACTGAACTAATGGCGATCACTACCCGATCCATGAACCAACCTGAAGACAATCCTCCACGAGAGGAGGAGGTTACTCCTCCGCCTACCAACTCTATCCCGAATGCTCCAGCTCCGAATCCCCAGCAAATGTTGGAGACCATGCAGTAGCTGGTGGCCCAAAATCAACAGTTACTGCAACTCATGCTTGCTGGACAAGGAGGAGCACAACTTGGAGGTGCACAACATGGAGGACCCCAAGGAGGAGCACAACTTGGAGAACCCCAAGGAGGAGCGCAATTCGGAGGTACATAACATGGAGGACCTCAAGGAGCTCCACGCCCTGGACACCAAGGAGCATCACGCCCTGCTGCTCCATGCCTAGGCGCCCTACTTGGGGGAGCCCAACATGAGGGAGTTCCACCTCCTTCTCTCTTACTTCCCATGGAGAGGACCCTTATCTCCAAGAGGATGATGGCGAAAACCAAAGCATCGAGCATGGAAGTCATTTCCATGATCATTCCAGAGGAGCCCCCAATCATTGAGACGAGAAAATCAAGGAAGTGCAAAATCAACTGGGTGATGTCTTCAACGCCATGAAGGCACAGGGACCCAAAATTGTAGACCACCTGGTAAGGCGTACGGATATGCCTTTCAAACCTGATGTAGCAAACTACCCCCTCCCTCAGAAGTTCAAAATACCATCTGTGGAGACCTTTGATGAAACTAAGGATCCACTGGACCACCTCGACACTTACAAGACTTTGATGCAACTGCATAACGTACCAGACGAAATCATGTGCAAGGCATTCTCAACCACGTTAAAGGGGTCTGCCCGACAGTGGTTTGCTAAGCTCTCCCCCGCCTCCATTGCCTCCTTCGCTGAGCTTAGCAGATCATTCGTCTCACATTTCATTGGAGGGCGTTGCCACCAGAAGCTTGTTACGCACCTGCTTAGTATAAAGTAGGATCGCGAGGAGAGCCTGAGGAGTTACCTCACTTGTTTTAACGAGGAGGTACTCCAAGTTGATGAACCCGACGACAAGGTGACAATGACCACCTTCTTGGGTGGCCTCCGTTCATCAAGCTTCCTTTTCTCAGTTATGAAGCAACCACTAAAGAGCATGCCAGAACTATTGGCAAAAGCTCAAAGATATATGAATGCTGAGGAAATCAACAGGTTTAGGCAAGGTGAATTATCTTGCAGATCACCAGAAGTTTGACTTGTCTCAGCATTGTTCTCAAACAGACAGTTTATCTCCAGCTTAGCAACTCTCTCACTGGTCGCCAAAAAAACTTGGCCCCTACACTGTTCTCAACACAGGCAACCTATCTCCAGTTCAGTGGCTCTCTCACGGGTCGCCAAAAAAGTTTGGTCTCTGCAATGTTCTCAAACAGGCAGTCTATCTCTAGCTTAGCGGCTCTTTCACGGATCGCCAAAAAACTTGGACTCCACACTGTTCTCAAACAGGCAGTCTATCTCCAGCTTAGCGGCTCTCTTGGGAGTCACCAAAAAAGTTTGGCCTCTGCACTGTTCTCAAACAGGCAGCTTATACCTCAAGCTTAAAGACTCTCTCATGGGTCGCCAAAACTTAGGTCTCAAAAGGTGTAGCTCTCTCATGAGCAGTTCTCCAACTCTTTCTTTGCTCTCGCGCAAGTAGCCTACCCCTCTCTCTCTCTCTCTCTCTCTCTCTCTCTCTCTCTCTCCATGTAATTATGTGAGATATTTTAATGTTTGAAATAATATTATTTTTGTCATCGCAAGCAAGCTCGCCCAACTTAGCTTAACGGCACAACACGGTCGGAGGAATGCGATAAGTAAAAACAAGCCTCGAGATATCTTCATCTAAACGAAACAGACTGGAAAGGGTACTCACCTTAGACCCATCATCATCGAGTCCTACTTTGCCTTTGCGTTTCTTCTTCCGGGGTCGTAGGGAGTAGTCTAAACCACCATTTGGGAAGTCTTGAGAAACTTGAATCAGAGGAGTCACAGTCGGGTCTTGATCATCAAAAGCAGCACCCAAAGCTTCTTTATCGCTTGCAATGCCTAGCCCAACACTTGGAGGGGTACTTGACTGCCTTTGCTCGCCAAAACGGAGCTGCCCAGTAGCTGGAGAGGTGCCTGACCCTTCAAAATTACACAAAATAGCATTTTCAGCACACAAAACAGCATTTTCGGCACCAAAATCAGCACTTACAGTACCCGAATCAGCGCTTGGAGCGGTGCTCAGATCTGCCCCTGCACCCAGGTTGCTGCCCAACTCTCCCTGCTACACCTTGGACTGATTTTCTGCACTTTTTGCTGAAGAAATATTGCTGCCCAGCACTCGAACGCTGCCTAGAACAGCAAAATCTGTGTTGCCCAGCGCGTTTGAGCTGTCTAGGACAGCAGAAGCAGTGTCCAAACTGCTGCCTAGCTCACTTAAGTTATCTAGGACAGCAAAATTGATGCCCAGGCAGCTGCCCAGCGCGCTTGGGCTGTCCAGGATAACAAAATCAGCGCCCAGGCAGCTGCCCAGTGCGCCAAAACTGCCCAGAATAACCCCTTTCCCGCTGCCCAGTTTGCCTAGGAAGTCCATCTTTTTCTCTCTGTGCCTACCCAGGTTGGGAGTCATGCCAAAAACATCAAAACCCACATATGTAGCGCTTGAACTAGCGCCCAAAACAGCGCCTACAGGAACTTGCACGGGCTGCTGGTGCGCGCGAAAGGCAGCAGCGGCTAGCGAGGATTTTTCCCCTCCTCCTCCTTCGATCCTTGCAACTTCAAATGCTCCAAGATCACTCTCCACAACCCTAATTTTGCCACTCCTCGTGACACCAATATAGCCTCTCTATTCCACCTCCTTCAAAGCTCCAAATATCTACTTAAAAAAAAAAAAAAACCACACTCAAGAATACCAACAAAATGATCTTGAGAGATTTCAAGCCTTACCTCCCTTCTCCCAAGTCTCAGTGGAATGGAAAAATTTTTGCCCACAAGAATGAGCTCTCAAGGTTCATAAGAATGGGCTCTCAAGGTTTTCAAGAAATGGGTGTTCAACCTTAAAAGTGAGTGAAATGGGTAGAATGAAGAAAAATACTATATTTATAGTCTAAAGTTTTTTAAAAAGAGGGAAAAAGCCCAAATCAAAAATATGGGCCCTCTTCAAAATAAAGTGGGAAAGGCTTGGAATTTGCACTAAAGCCAAAGATACAAACGAATAGTCAATGCCTCCTTCTCCAAGTCTCCTTGGACACGGGGCATTAGGGGGCAAATGATGGGTCAAGCCCAAATAGCCCAATTTATGTGAGAAGTCCAACCCCAATTGAGGAGCCAACCTCATGAAAAATCCACCAAACCCAATATAGTCCAAGACCAGTTAGACTCTTTACTTAGCCACATCATCAAGGGAGAGAGCATGAGAAGTTTTATCTGCAACACCGAAGGAAACGGTTTATCTTTGACCGCATCTCATGGAGAGCTCCTCAACCACCTCGCTCGTTGAGAAGAGATCGGGAGCTCCACCGAAATAGTTGCTTAGTCGCTGGAAAGTAGCCCCAACCTGTTAGGGGGCCACTATAAATGGCATGCTCCATCAACATTTGGAAGGACACTGATTGTCTGGCACCACATCTTCCTTGATTCTCTATTCTCCCTCGAAGCTTGTATTCTCTATCTCCATACTCTTAAATTAATAAAGTACTCGACAACGAAAGTCATTCAAGAGTGAACGTAGATCGAGTTGAACGAACCACTATAAATCTTGTCTCCTCCAATTCTCTCTTTACTTTTACTGCATTTATTATTTACACTTGAGAGGTAGTGTTCAAAACCATTTTTGTGCATCATCAGATGTCAAACACCAAACAGAGGAATTTAATGACCGAGAGATGAGCCATAAATGATCGACAATTCCTGAGCAAAAATTCACTTGCCCGAGGAGACTAGTTATTAGATAATTTGATGGGATGACACTCATAATGTTGGGCTATGAATGCAGATCATTAAATTCTAACACGTGACTCAAAGACATTATCATTATTGCAAATTCAAGTACAAATACTTCTCAAGAAGCTGGAATAAGGTATGCAATTAAAAAGAGAAAATATATTGTATTTATGACTCCAAGGTCGACTGACTTGAAATTTGGAGAGATTAGTTAGGTACACACCTGGGTCCTTTTTTTTTAATTCTTTGTTTTTGATTTATCATTTTGGATTGTTCTGCACATCGATATCTCAATTTATTGCAGAAAATAATCTGCGTACCTTTAGAGAAAAAAGTATATAAAATTATAAGAAATGACATCGGTGAGCCATTTGAGACGCATAACACCTCGGGCAAGCAGATCAATTATGTGATACATCCTCAGGGGGTGGTCCAGGGTCCAGAGGGTAAATGACCAAAGTTTGTATTCAAAAATTAGAAGTTCGTATTTGGAGTTTATAATAAGATTTAGTGGTTGAGCTTTATGTTAGTTTAATTAAATTCGTTTTTAAGAAAAGTAATTGACACAATCAAGGGCTCCATGATAGTAACGACCTATTGAAATGGTCTCTGGATATTTTTTTTAACTTCCACCCCATTTTTGCAAAAAAAGAAAAGATGATTCAAATTGACAAAATTGGGAAGAAAGTCTCAAACTTGCCTCTCTGTTTGAATCACTCTATGAATGTTACATGGTGATTTTTTCCCGCCCATAGTTTTAGCTTAACTGATACAATCTCGGTGGACAACCACCTTCTAATTAGTGAAAGAGTTAATAGAATTTTAATCTTTAAAATATTTATTTTTATCGGTTTAATTATTATATTGATTTTGTCAATTTAGTCCTTAAAATATTCAATTCGTATCATTTTGATCCTTATATATACGGACTATTAAATTTTGACAGAATGATCACGTGGGCACGTGATACCATCTAAAAAAAGGGCACATGCTCATTTCTTTAAAAAAAACTTGATGGATCATCTAATTAAGGACCAAAATGACACGGATTAAATATTTAAGGGACCAAATTAAAAAAAATTGACATAATAAAAACTAAACTAACAAAAAATACATAGATATCAAAGTGCTATTAACCCTTAGTGGAACATTTTGGATGAATCGTCATCATATAGGAATAATTTGAATTTAATATGATAACTACATTAAAATAGTATATAACAATAAATTTCATTAGAAAAAATTTCATAAGCATTTTCTCAATCTTTTATAATTTCTTAGAATTTTGCACGAGAACATTGCTATATATCATTTATTTTACAATGTTCTCCATAATAGAGTGTTGTCTATAAAACGCCGTGGAAATATAATTTATGAAGTTATTTTTCTCTNATTGGGAAGAAAGTCTCAAACTTGCCTCTCTGTTTGAATCACTCTATGAATGTTACATGGTGATTTTTTCCCGCCCATAGTTTTAGCTTAACTGATACAATCTCGGTGGACAACCACCTTCTAATTAGTGAAAGAGTTAATAGAATTTTAATCTTTAAAATATGTATTTTTATCGGTTTAATTATTATATTGATTTTGTCAATTTAGTCCTTAAAATATTCAATTCGTATCATTTTGATCCTTATATATACGGACTATTAAATTTTGACAGAATGATCACGTGGGCACGTGATACCATCTAAAAAAAGGGCACATGCTCATTTCTTTAAAAAAAACTTGATGGATCATCTAATTAAGGACCAAAATGACACGGATTAAATATTTAAGGGACTAAATAAAAAAAATTGACATAATAAAAACTAAACTAACAAAAAATACATAGATATCAAAGTGCTATTAACCCTTAGTGGAACATTTTGGATGAATCGTCATCATATAGGAATAATTTGAATTTAATATGATAACTACATTAAAATAGTATATAACAATAAATTTCATTAGAAAAAATTTCATAAGCATTTTCTCAATCTTTTATAATTTCTTAGAATTTTGCACGAGATCATTGCTATATATCATTTATTTTACGATGTTCTCCATAATAGAGTGTTGTCCGTAAAACGCCGTGGAAATATAAATTTTTTTTAGGATGAAGTTATTTTTCTCCTGAAAAATTAAGAGAAAAGTACATTTTGACTATCTAAACTATAGACTGAATTTTACTTTGTCTCTTGAACTATTAAATTTTTTAAATTATCCTTTCAACTAGTCGAATTATTTCACATTTAAATGAAAATTACCAATATGTCGAGACAAAGTGAAAATAATTACATAGTTTGAAGGGTAAAAATAAAATAACTCTCTGTTAAATATGTCATGGAAGTTAATTTTTGGGATATGTGAAACTAATCATATAGTTGTGGGTATAATATAAAAAATATGATAGTTAAAAGAGCAATGTGAAAAAAGAGTCATAGTTAAAGGGGTAAAAGTGTAACTTTTCCAAAAATTAATTTAAAAAATTTAATTTAAAGAGGTTACGATTGATACCTTTTTAAAAAAAAAAAAAAAAATTTTGTTTAAAGAGCAATGTGAAAAAGAGTCATAGTTANCTGGGTCCTTTTTTTTTAATTCTTTGTTTTTGATTTATCATTTTGGATTGTTCTGCACATCGATATCTCAATTTATTGCAGAAAATAATCTGCGTACCTTTAGAGAAAAAAGTATATAAAATTATAAGAAATGACATCGGTGAGCCATTTGAGACGCATAACACCTCGGGCAAGCAGATCAATTATGTGATACATCCTCAGGGGGTGGTCCAGGGTCCAGAGGGTAAATGACCAAAGTTTTTATTCAAAAATTAGAAGTTCGTATTTGGAGTTTATAATAAGATTTAGTGGTTGAGCTTTATGTTAGTTTAATTAAATTCGTTTTTAAGAAAAGTAATTGACACAATCAAGGGCTCCATGATAGTAACGACCTATTGAAATGGTCTCTGGATATTTTTTTTAACTTCCACCCCATTTTTGCAAAAAAAGAAAAGATGATTCAAATTGACAAAATTGGGAAGAAAGTCTCAAACTTGCCTCTCTGTTTGAATCACTCTATGAATGTTACATGGTGATTTTTTCCCGCCCATAGTTTTAGCTTAACTGATACAATCTCGGTGGACAACCACCTTCTAATTAGTGAAAGAGTTAATAGAATTTTAATCTTTAAAATATNACAATCTCGGTGGACAACCACCTTCTAATTAGTGAAAGAGTTAATAGAATTTTAATCTTTAAAATATTTATTTTTATCGGTTTAATTATTATATTGATTTTGTCAATTTAGTCCTTAAAATATTCAATTCGTATCATTTTGATCCTTATATATACGGACTATTAAATTTTGACAGAATGATCACGTGGGCACGTGATACCATCTAAAAAAAGGGCACATGCTCATTTCTTTAAAAAAAACTTGATGGATCATCTAATTAAGGACCAAAATGACACGGATTAAATATTTAAGGGACCAAATTAAAAAAAATTGACATAATAAAAACTAAACTAACAAAAAATACATAGATATCAAAGTGCTATTAACCCTTAGTGGAACATTTTGGATGAATCGTCATCATATAGGAATAATTTGAATTTAATATGATAACTACATTAAAATAGTATATAACAATAAATTTCATTAGAAAAAATTTCATAAGCATTTTCTCAATCTTTTATAATTTCTTAGAATTTTGCACGAGATCATTGCTATATATCATTTATTTTACGATGTTCTCCATAATAGAGTGTTGTCCGTAAAACGCCGTGGAAATATAAATTTTTTTTAGGATGAAGTTATTTTTCTCCTGAAAAATTAAGAGAAAAGTACATTTTGACTATCTAAACTATAGACTGAATTTTACTTTGTCTCTTGAACTATTAAATTTTTTAAATTATCCTTTCAACTAGTCGAATTATTTCACATTTAAATGAAAATTACCAATATGTCGAGACAAAGTGAAAATAATTACATAGTTTGAAGGGTAAAAATAAAATAACTCTCTGTTAAATGTGTCATGGAAGTTAATTTTTGGGATATGTGAAACTAATCATATAGTTGTGGATATAATATAAAAAATATGATAGTTAAAAGAGCAATGTGAAAAAAGAGTCATAGTTAAAGGGGTAAAAGTGTAATTTTTCCAAAAATTAATTTAAAAAATTTAATTTAAAGAGGTTACGATTGATACCTTTTTTAAAAAAAAAAAAAATTTTTGTTTAAAGAGCAATGTGAAAAAGAGTCATAGTTAAATGGGTAAAAGTGTAATTTTTCCAAAATTTAATTTTAAAGAGGTTACGGATGATACTTTTTTTTTTTTTTTTTTTTTTTAATTTTGGGTTTGGTTATTCCTCCCCGATTCCCAGGACACTGGTCCATCAAGGCCAACCCTGTAATTTCTTCGAATTTCAGGGTCCAATCTATCTATCTATACTCGTCACGACATATAAATTCGAGGAACTTTCCAGACTTCCAGCAGTCTCGCTCTCCCAAAACGCGTTTGGTAAGAATTGGAGAGAAGAAAAGCTTCGTCTCACAAAAAACCCCCCTCTCTCTCTCGTAAGCATCTTTCATCTCTGAAGATTCGTATTTTTGTTTGATTGTACTTGTGGAATCTATATATACTGATCCCCTTATACGATGTGTACATAAATTTCTATGCTTGATTTCTAGGGGTTTTATTCTTTCTATTTTTTTTTTCTGGAATCTGGTGGTGATTTTGTGCTTTAGCGGGAAAAAATGGCGTCGGATTCGAAAGTTCACGATTTTGAGGAGGTTGCGAACCACAACAAGACCAAAGATTGCTGGCTTATCATCTCTGGGAAGGTCAAATCTTTTAGTTGATTTGAATTTATTATTTGATTTCAATTTTGTATATAAGATGTGCCTTTTTAGAAAATTGATTAGTGTAGGACATGCAAGAGAAGTTTGAATTGGATCACTCTTATGTTAATTTTGTCTAGTATTTAGTGTGATGCAAACTAATCTTGTTGCATGATTAGTTTTGACTTTGGATGGTTGATAGTTGATCAATTCTTTAATGTTACAGTATTTTAGCTTTGGCAGAATTAAGTGCTACATTTCATTTGATTTGCAGGGATGTGATGGCATGTGAGAGTTTTAAGTGTGTTTCACAAGCTCGCACACACACACACACACATCACATATATATGTTCTTCTTGATGGTCTTATTTGTGAAAGTGTCATAGTGAGAGATCTGACTGAGTGCTCCCAACTTATGTGTTGTTGATGATATGTTGAACTTTTCCATTAGCGACTTCCGGACCACCTTTTACTGGTAATATTTAAATCGGCATAAGATAATTAGCCTTTTCATGGACCAAAATGTCTTAAAACCTCCGTGCAAACTTCTTAATGATGCTTATATGTGGGTTAGGGATGTTTTCCTTTTACAATTGGAAAGAGATCCAAGTATCATGCACATTGAGAATTCATGTGATATGTGGGCAACCCAACCTTTGGCCTGACAAGCTATAATTATGGGGAAATCGGGCAGATGATGGTCCAGGGATCAGTACATGCTAAATTAAGCAATGGAGTTAACTATATGTTGGAGTTGTGTTTTTCTTGTCTACTTTAACTGAATTGTTTATGTTCTGACAGAGTCATGTCCTATTCAAATGTTTATGTTAATTATTACATCAATATGCATAGGAGGCTTTCAAATGGTGAAATAAAGCTTCAAGTTTTAGTCTTAAGAAAAAAAAGACTTTGGACTTTTGTTAGAGCGTAGTATGGATCTATACTAAATGAAGGTGAAACAGACCAATTATGCAACTTGTATGATTTGACATCAAATCACAACTGAGAATTTGTAGTTCTATAACGATTTGGCAAATCTAGGTCACCCGCATTAATAAATGTTGTCCAATTAATCTTTTAAAGATGATCATGATTAGATATATATTCACCTAATTCAAAAATTATTGAATTTAAATATACAGATTCATATTCATTGATTTTATACTTTTTGACACTAATGTCTACTTAAAAAAGGACAATATTGGCTTAGGAAAAGCTGCCAGACATCGCTTACCTTGTAGGCATGTTACGATAAATCTGTACAGAAACTTTTGTGATATTTTATTGTCCAGATCTTCGTTTTGGATTCTGGTCATTCTTGATTGTCTGAGGTTTATTGGTGATTATGATGATTGAATTCCTGTCGAACTACTTGTATCAGGTGTATGACGTGACGACCTTCATGGATGATCATCCTGGAGGTGATGAAGTTTTGCTGTCAGCAACTGGTAATGCTATGATACATTTCCTCTATCCAACCTTTCTTACATTCCTTATTCATGAGCATGGTCGACTTCTTTGTCCCATGAACATAGAATTTTGTCTGCAATTTTGTAGGGAAAGATGCAACAAGTGATTTTGAAGATGTTGGCCATAGTGATTCTGCTAAGGAGATGATGCAGAAATATTACATAGGTGAGATAGACACATCAACTGTTCCCCTGAATCGCACTTATGTTCCACCACATCAAGCACCATACAATCCAGACAAAACTCCAGACTTCGTGATCAAGATTTTACAGTTCCTTGTGCCCCTCCTCATCTTGGGGTTAGCTTTTGCAGTCCGTCACTATACTAAGGAAAAGTAGGCACCACATTTGACCTTTTATGGTCAAATAGTTGCCTGATTTAATCATGTAGTAGTTGGATGAACAATCTCTTCCCCTTACAGGTTTTTTTTTGGAGCTCGAGAGTTCCAGAATTGAACGTTCGTGTTTGTGCGGAAAAAAAAAAGTTACCATTGCTACCCTTATGGAGCATTATGTTTGGGCAACTACTATGCCTTCAGTGGCTTGATTGTGTTTTGTTATGTTAGATGGACACCCAGGAGCTTGGTTCTTCATTCATTGTTTTTGGGGCCAATTGGTGTTCTCTCTCTCTCTCTCGCGTGTTATCTTGGGTACAGCCTTGACATGATCATCTTCTGAATTTTTTGAGACATCTACAATGACGATCAATATAACACATTGGAGGATGTGTTGATTCACTTTATAATCTTACAAGGTATATTGAGTACAAAGTGAGCACAAAAGCCCATGCCTCACCCGAGGCTCAATACAACACAAATAATTGTGAAAACCTCATGTTTCAGACAGCCCCGCTTCCAACCAATTGAGCCTCCAAAGCAGCGTGTACACTAGAATGAGTATCACAATCCGGTACGATCCTTTCACCATAATGCTTGTCTTTAGCAAATGATTAGAGATTCCAAAGGACCATATCCCAGAAAATAATCTGAGTTAGTCAAACCAAAGAGCATAATTTAGCAGATTAAAGTTTCCAACGCCGGTCAATCAAAAAGGTGTGTCTATCTTGTCATGGAGAGTCACCACCAAGTTATGAGCATCATCAAGAAGCTTCCAGACGTCGAGATGACCGGCCATGCTATTGCACTCCCTTAAAATCTCATCCATGCTGCTGTACTTCTGTATGATTTGCTTCCTCCTCTGCAATACAGAAGCTGCAATAGCATAAAGCAATAGATCATCGGTTGGTGGTGCTCGCTGCCTTATCCTGCTCCACGCGGACTTTCCAATCCCAGCCCGAATTGCTGCCTGATCTGCCCACATTACCTCCCAGAGGCAGAGTGTCTGCTCAAAAGTTAATTCCCTCCTGAAGAGTACCACCACCATCCTGTACACGAAAAAGCAATCCTCCGCCTGGAGCTTCTCCAAGTGTCTATAAAGATGAGAATCCTTGCGTTTGATAATTTTAGAAACAATATTCAGTTGTCTTCTGATACCCACCTCGTCAAGCCTAAAATTGTGCCGTGCCTTCCTCATGAAACCAACAAAACACCAGAAAGCCTCGTGATCCTCAGCTATCACAGTGATCATTGGAGAAAGTAAATCACTCATCCCCTGGCAATAGCCAATTTCAGGGTCATAGAGCGCATAGGCTTCAAGAATGGCAACTAATCGAGCAGCATGGAAGATCCTGCAGGGCTCCAGGTGATCACAATCCTTTAACCCAACAGCCTCAGCAGAATGGCGTGCCCTGTCATCCGACACCGCAGCCTTAGTTGGAGAGTATGATATCCAATCTTCATTGGCCCGAACTGCATCAAGACGGATAATCCGCTGCCATGTGGCAAAATCTTCTGTTCGGGGTTTTGACTGGACTTCCATCTTAGAGGGAAAAGAATCTTTCTCCAAAGGCAAGTCAAGATCATTTTCCTCTTGGCTTTCCATGGAGGGAAAAGTTTGACTGATATCCGGGTCTTCAGAGGAGCCTGAGTCTGACGATTCAGAGTCTGAGGCATTTGAATCTGTTACTCGTCTCGAATAAGCTTCACCTTCCAACAACTCACTGGTAGCACGGTCCAAGTACTCCACATATGGGCTCCTTTCTTCACTAGAGAGGGATTCTCTGGCACTAACCACATCTTCAGAGTCTGGAGAATCCGTACCTTCAACGAAACTACCACTGTCCCCAATGCTGCCGATTCCAAGATTTCCCTTCAACTTGGTGCTCTCATCGCTTTGTTTTAGAAGCCGACGGCATTGTCTCCGTAGGTTCTCATATTCCTTTCTGAAAGACCAGGGAGTAGGAAGTATTAGTTAGAAATAACGCGTTATGTTAAAGGTATAACTTCAGAATACGACACTCTATTTTCTAAATAAACAATAGCAAAAGAATTGGTGAATGTGTGAGAGAGACAGTGCGAAGGAGAGATGAACTTGGCAGAAACATACCTCAGCTGAGATCTTAAAATCTCTCTTTCTTCTTGGGAACTTTTCAAGTCATACCTGTTGACAAAGGGAAATAAATTTAGTCATTTGGTGCACCCACATTGATGTTGTAGAATAGATGGTGTGGTGCCACAGCAAATACAAGGCCAATCTCAGCACTAATATGAAAGCTAACTGTGCTTACACTCCAAGGAGTAATGGCCAAACCTCTGACCTGATACGTGGATCAACACCCTACATCAGAAAGCAAAGAAATTAAATTTCAATAAACTGTGAGCATAGGAAAAAAGATAAAAGAATAAATCGTAGAAACATGCAAAACTATGTATCTATGAAAGGTGGGGTGAACAAGTATAGTACAGCAAATGGTAACTCACTCCACTGCGGACTTTCTTCAGAAATTTAAGACCACCATCACGGAGCTTTCCTTCTGGAGTAAACAAGTTTTTCCATGGCTGTGATGAAAGAGCGGGTTTTCTTTTCCTGCGGGACCATGGTGATTTGAGACGGCCCCTGAAATTTGACAAGGGTAAAAATTAATAACCATGACAAATAAGAAGTCAACACTGACATAACACCACAAGCAGCCAACAAAGAAAATCTGAATAAGACTTTGTCATGCAATGCACCAAATGCTAGTGCCAAAGCAGTAGGCCGGCAGAATCTCACTTTTCCATCCAACACCCCAACCTCAAAAGAAAAATAAATAAATAAAAACATATGATAATGGCAATACCTTATTATATCAGAAATAACCACAACGAATACAACAATGAAACATTTCTCCTCTAACATTTACCAGTGTTAACATTACAGCCCATCTAATCATTGTGATTAATGATAGTAAGAATACTATCATTAGTAAGAATGAAAGTAAGAAGTGTTTTAGTAAGAATGCTCCTACTATGATTAATGTTAGTCAACTGCATATAGTTGTAATGTTATAATCTAAAGTTTTAGTTTTTGTGTTTTGGCTCCCATCCACATTGTTCTGATTTTTAGCAGAATGCTCTGCTGCTTAAAAAAGATGGCCAACAATATAAACCTTTGAATTTGAAGCCAAAGAAACCCTCTGGATAGCTCAAGTGGTAGCTCAAGTGATAATAGGGACGACCTATAAACCCAGACATCCTGAGTTCAAATCTTGGCAACTTCTTTGGCTAGGTCATGAAGAATTTATCCATCATGAATACCGTATTTTCGACGTTAATGGCCTACCTCTAACTGGACTGGGGAGAAGATCAGTTGAAGTGCACATAAATTGGTTAGACACCATTGATCGTTGAACCAAAATAAAATTTAAACCAAAGGCTATTTGAGCCAATCAGCCAATTGTGAGCTTATTGTTGCTCCTCTTAATTGCTTACTGCATTTGATACCCAAAATTGGAAACCCTGGAAATGCAATAAGCTTCTTATGTATAAATTTATCTTTACTAAAACAAAGTCTTAAACCTAAATCTCTGGTCAAATGCACAAATTTTAGGATTGTATTATCTTCGCAAGGGAAAAATATCTTTCATTAACTTATCATATAGATTTTGGGATGAAAAAGGAGATGGCCATCATATTTTTCATGTCAGCTCTAGAGAAAGCGAAGTCCTTTTTAGCTCCAAATGTCGAAACAGATGGAATGGCTCACATAACAATCTCCTCACAAATGCCCTTCTTGTACGTGCGTGTACTAACTTTTGTGGCCCCTAACGAGCCTACTTGCTTTGAACACCTTCATTCTGTGAGGCTTCAATATAGCTCATTGAAATGCAGAACATGTAAAACAACATTAATACAATCGCAACCTAAACAAATGCAAAACACATAAATAAAAATTTCAATAGCACGTAGCCCACAATATGAAAGTCCCAATTGAACGTTTTGCAAGAATAAGGGGGAATCACAAAAGGGAAGAAAAAACTCCACTTTGGCAATCTAAATTACATAGATTCAGTACGCCAAACTAAAGCCCTTACAATTTCAAATTAAGAAACATAAAAAACGAAAATTAACAGGCCAGGCATGATTCTGTCACACTGGGATACTCATTATAGTCATTTAGACAATTGCTTACATATTAGCAAGAAATATTAAGTTAAGCAGACTCCATCAAGATTATCCGACTGAAGCAGACCCCCAGGCCCAGCATTCCTTTGAGAATCTAAGACTATCATGGTCACTAATCTCTCGTTTGCCGCGACTACATTCTCAGTAACTCCAAAGTGTACGCCACAAGGAGATTCTAATTTTACTCCTTTGACTAACAGAATTCCAAAACCTCACCAAGTCGGCTCCTGGAAAGAACAAGAAGAACCTGAATGCTTAATGCTTAGAAATTCTTAAGAAAGGAAGTCACTTGTAAGAATTTTCCAATGTCTTTGTTTTGTTTTGAAAGCCGCAAGTTTCAAGAATCAAACGGATCTACAGAAACAAACAGTTACACTAAATTCTCCAATGTCAGTTGCAGAATTCTTCAATGTCAAACCCAAAAGGCTGCCAGATAGAATCTTCACGGAAAAAAAGAAGAAAAAGAAAAAAAATAAATTGCACAAAGCAAACCATTCACAATTCGTTCAAACAATAAATCAAAACACAAAGACAAATTTTAAAAAAATTGAAGTCTATGAGCAACACACAATACGAATAAATCAACTAAGCTATACACAATCAGCATCCATAACATATGAGTGTCTATTTACATCATTGTATATGCAGATCTCTATAAACAGATCGCGATGTATGTGAATCAGTCAAACCATTTCATTCATATAAAAAATAACAGTCCAAATCAAACACGACGAAAAATAACAAGCCAAACACAAGTAACTAGTTAGTAGAAGAAAACGGGAAGTGGACCTTTAGTGAACTTTAGGATTGAGCAAGGCAGTAGACACCATTGAAAGAAAAGAAACACACACATTCACAAATTCGAGTACTCTTGAAATCAAGATCTGAGTTAAAAACAGTGAACACTACTTAGATGAGCTGAATTGCATAAAATTTAAGAAAACGGCAGGTAAAGGACAGAGAAATATAAAGGACCGAGGACTCACCGATCAGAAGAAGCACAATAAGCCGGTGAGGAGGATGCTACTACAAATAAAACCGATCTCAAATGAATCCACGACGATGACGATGAAGACGGCGAAGAGGAATTTGAAGGCGACGACGACGAAGTTTGACTTCGTCGCAGGGCTTTCATCTATGTACAAAGTTTCTGATTACTGTTATCAACTCTACCAAATTTCTAGGGTTCAATCCCTTCAAGTTCTATACTCCTGTTAATTCTTGGTTTTTTACCTACTAATGTGAATCACATCGGCGATCAAAGTGAATCCTGCCAAGGCCGTGAAGGAGAAAGCTACTCCGGCAGTCGAAGCCGTCGTCTCCGCCCAAAATCCACCTCCACTGCTAACGATGAAGTTATAGATTTTGATGCCTTGAGCAACATTAGAGCCACTGAAGCTGAAGAAGAGGAAAAGTAAAGATGATGAGAGAGAGATGTACAGTACAATTATAGATACGCCCTTGAGTATCACCACGCGGAGTGGATTTTCCACCATAACCAACCGGGGCCACCCCCAACTGCCTTTTCCTTTAACTTTATTTTCTCTCTCTCTCTAGTCTTTTTCGTTGTCTCTTCTCAGTTCTCTCTCTCTCTCTCTCTCTCTCTCATTCTCACTCTTCAGTCTTCGTTTTCTCTCTCTAGACCAAGGAGGAGGGACTGAACCGGAGACTAGATACTTGAGAACTCTGCGGATCCTCACGCGTATCTAAGAAGCCACTACTTCAACACGTACTAATTTTAATGTTCGGGTTCGAATCTTTATAATTAAAATAATTTATACTGTATTTAGCTGGAAGAAAAGTTGAATAGATAGAATATGGAGGATGAAAAATATGACGGATGGAAAATTTTTTTATTAAAGAAAAATTGGAGGAATAACTTTTCTCTCTTATCCACGATTTACTTTTCGCCTGAGTCGAAGGGAGTTCTTATTTTACTTTTTTGCCCTTTGTTATTAATTACTTGAAAATTAATATAAAGCTAGAATTGTAAATTGAGCACACATATTTTTTTCTTCCCTTTCATTTTTTTATCTAATATCAAACGATTGAAAATATATTTTTTCTATTTTTTATCCCTCCTATTAAACAAAAAAAAAGAGAAAATAATTTACTTTCCTTCAAGGATAAAAAGTTTATCACTTCTATTTTTTTTTCTTTTCTATTTTTCATCATTTGTACTAAAGGGATCATTAATAAGATTAAGTTTATTTGTTAGTACCCAAACCATATACTTTGATCTAGGCGTGATAGAATCTCTAGTGTATATTTTTTAATAAATATGTAAAGTGATTTATTTCATATACATTTTATTAAAAAAAAAAAAGTAGATTCTCTTATATATATATAAAAAAAACAGTTTGTGAAGGAATTGTGTTTTTTACAAGGCAGATATTTAGATTACCAATTCAACATGGTCCAAAAACGACGTCGAGCCCTCTCTAAATTCATCACTTGGGTTAAGACCAAGTCACCCTGATGGGCCGCTTATTTCTAGGCGAGATTGAGATACCCATGTGTCAGCGGCATTTGCTGCATTGACCCAATGTTTTAGATTAGGCCCGTTAATGAACTTGCTCTTGCCCCAAATTTGTCGGATATGTAATGACTAGTCATTGATACAACAGAAAAAAAAATCTTAAATAACTGTTCAAATTCAAAATTAATGATTTAAAAATATTTATATACATTTTTTTTAAAATGACTTAAAATATATTGTCGATCATATTTTCGAAATTAATGAAACTATCATAAAAATTTATAAATTTTTTTCAAAAAAACACTATATATATAAATGGTCTGAAAAAAAAAATACTAACATAACGCATTGAAATTTACAATATTTAAACAATAAATAATTTTTTATTTATTTATAAGACTCACGAATTTATAACATTTACTATCACTCAATATAATAATATAATATAATTATAAACTCAATCACATATTTTTAATCCATCATATCCTCATGTAATAAATAAATTATGTAAAAAAAAATAGTAACAANATATAATATAATTATAAACTCAATCACCATATTTTTAATCCATCATATCCTCATGTTATAAATAAATTATGTAAAAAAAAAATGGTAACAGAATACAATTAAATTTAAATATTTAAGTGATAAATAAAATCAATCAAATTTTGATAATTTATAAACTAGTGAATTTATCACCACTATCATCATTCAACGTTAGATGACATAATATAATTATAAATTTATTCACCAAATGTTCAATCTTCTATGTATAAATATACACAAAAACACATCTCTCCACATTTTTTTTTTGGTAACCAACAAACCTTACTGACCAGTAATTATTTTTATTAAAAATACAATAATTCAACTTTTTAAGATAAAATAATAATAATTATATGTAATTAAAAAACAAGGTAAAAATCACATACACCCTCTGCTTTTGGTAATATTATACGGACACCTCTTAAGATTTTATAAATAACACGAAGATTCATGATGTTTGAAATTCATTACATAGAAACCCTTTTATCTCCCTTCCGTCAATGTTACTAATAGAAATTGATAATTTCATTTCAAAAATTTTTATTATTTTTATAATTGTTATACTCCAAATTCAGTACCAAAAAAATTAAAAAATTAATAAAATCAAATAAAAATTTATTTAGTACCCAAAAATTGATATAATTTAGTACTCCAAAAAATTGATTAAATGAATATCAATATTAATTTGATAAAAATAAAAATTAATTTGATATTAATTCGACCTAGTTGAATATAAATTGGATAAAATTAAATATTAATTTTGGATAAAATTATATATTAATTTAAAATCTAAAGTTTATTTTCTGTTGAATATTATTTGATATTTATAGTCAACGTGCTATTTTTTATTTATATTAAGTGTTATTTACAAATTATGAAGCAAGTGACAAAAATACATGTCATCAGATATATAAAAATTTAAATTAATTTTATGGAATAAATAATTTCATAATTAATATTTAATTAAAAACACAAGGTAAAAATCACGGAATCTCCTAAGTTTTGAAAATATTACGCGGACACCTCTTGACATTTTATATATAACACAGAGATCCCCTGAGATATGAAATTCATTGCACGGAGATCTCATTTGTCTCCCTCCTGTCAATGTTATTAACGAAAATTGATAATTTTATTCAAATTTTTTTTATTATTTTTACAACGTCCCTTCTCCAAATTTAGTATGAAAAAAATTAAAAGTTTAATAAAATCAAATAAAATTTAATTTAGTACCCCAAAAATTGATACAATTTAGTAATCCAAAAAATTGTTTAAATGAATTTCAATATTAATTTGATAACAGTAAAAATTAATTTGATATTAATTCAATAAATTTGAATATAAATTGGATAAAATTAAATGTTAAATTTTGATAAAATTATATATTAATTTACAATATACAGTTCATTTTGTATTGAATATTATTTAGTGTTTATAGTTAATGTGTTATTTTTTATTTAAATTAAGTGTTATTTACAACTTAAGAAGCAAGTGACAAAATACATATAAAAACTTTGAATTTGTTTTATGGAATAAATAATTACATAACATATAGTTTTATCTGTTTTATGGAGTAAATAATAACAACAATAATACAAGAGAAAAAAAAAAGGATAATAGTATGAGAGAGGAAGAGAATATAAGATAGATAGATAAATAGAGAAAGTTAAATCAGATATGAGAGTTTTAGAGTTATAAAAAGAATGAAAATTCAATTAAAACCATCAGACTAAAGCGATTTGAGTTGCAAAAAATTAAAGATAAAGAAATCTAACTACTTTTATATATATATATATATTTATGAGTGCAAATCATGTGTTGTCTTCTCGAAGAAAGAATATGAGTGTTAATTTTTGATACAAAATAATAAACAAAGTGAAAATGGTATGAACTCGAAAATAATAAGATCAATTAGATTGAAAAATAAATAGACAAGCATTAATAATTTATTTAATTGGTATTATGCGATGAAAATACCTTCATTGTTTACTTAGTTTTTTTTGTGCCTCGGATCTAATATTGCATTTTTTTTTACGAGAATCTACGATTTTTTAATTTGATTTTGTCAAATTGTGGATCTAATTGATCCATAATTCATAGGAATCTGTATGGATTGGAGTTAATTGAAAGAGAAAACAAAACAAAAAAAAGATTATGCTCTTGGAGGCTTTGATTCACAAATTATGGCAAAAAAAAAGATGAATACCACCTAAAACTAAAATGTCATAATCTTAATATAATACGTTACGGCTCAATTAATATTACAAAGAGTCACCCTAACTTGTTACTTAGTTAGTATGTTTGGTTTTTCTCTTTTCGTTTTTCTTTTGGGAATATTATATTTTGTACTCAAATAAATTTTAAAAAATTTATTTTATATTATCAAAAATTAAAAATTGTACATTGCTCTCTCAATATATTAAAAATATTATAATATATAGACCTTGTATTAGTTTTTTTATTCATTCTGTCAATTTTAATAGAGTGAATTTTGACGAAATAAACAATTGGAGGATGATAGTTTAATATTTTAAATACATTAATGATCTAATGTGAAAATTTTCATATTTAAAGGTATAAAGTGAAAAAACTTAAATTTATTGGGGTCTAAAGTGAGATTCCCCTTTTCTTTCCCCCTTTGTAGAATAATCTCTTTTTCTTTTGTGTCTCAAATTCTACGCCCGTAGTTGTTGACTGATTTATCATGGTGTTCTCGAGGTGGAAAAAGAAAGAATCTAATAAATGAGAGGCTTGACCCATCAGTCTTATCTTTCCACGTAGACAGAAATTCGTAGATCTGTCATCTTTTTTGTGCCGAGAGCATGGAGATTTCTTATTTATAATTATTTTATTTTATATTATTTCTTTGTTATAAAAAGATCCTAGAATTATAAGTAAATAAATAAATATATTTGATCCCGAAAGATTAAGGGGTATAAAAATCTCTAATATATATGATTTATGGCCTGGATCATTAATTCTTCAAATCAGTTATTATCTCACAAATATAGTTGATTATGTAATCTTTAAATACATCTAAGTTAGTATTTACTATTTTCTAAAAATATCGTATAACACATGATAATATTTTTTTGGAAGTATCATCTATAATGTAAAATAGAATAATATTTAATAAATCTATTCGATGGTGTAAGAAATTTTAAAAAATGAAATCATAAGAAAAGAAAAAACTTCAGCAACCCCGAGGGGTTAATCCAGTAATAGCTCAGTCACCTGTTAAACTTCTTATAAGAGGTAAGTTTAGAGTTTGAATATCTCACGAAGTGTAGTCAAAAAGTCACCACTCATAGATTTATCTATTTGTGCGGAGAGATAGTTTTGCACAAGATTCAACATTATTTTGGTATGTGACATATGATAGTATTGCAATGAGTTACATAGACAATTGAAATACTAAAAAAAAAAATACTCCAGGTAACCCTTGCCTTAAATAAAAAAAAATAAAAAATAGAACCCCTTTAGGATGGGATGGACCATATACCCCTTTAGGATGGATGGACCATATAACCCTTAATTATTGAACCACCTACTAGAAATAAAGAGGGGTCCAAGAGAATTAACGAGGTCAAAGGCAAGTGTACAGAGATGAACAGAGTGACAACAGAAAGTGATTACAACCCAAGAAATAATCATGTTTACTCGAATCAAAT